CCATTTCTTCGGCTCTCACTCGCGCGCTACCACCTTCTCCCCTACCTGCTTCTCCTCTCTCACCTTGACTCATCCCTTTCCGTCCGCTCGTCGACGTCCTCGCTCCCTACAGACTCGTAATCTCGACCGAAGAATCTGATTATTCTAAACTCCCTCCCGATCGACAGGATTTACCGTCTCGATCCTATCTCGCGAGACGGATATTATCGAGCGCGCGAATTTGCGCCGTATTTTCGGACGTATTAGCGACATTTCGAGAGATAATTTTCTGTTTAAATCGCCTCCACTCTGCGAGGCAAACATAAAAATGACGACGCGACGATATATCAATTTGTCGATATATGTCGGGAGATTATGTCATCGATATGCATCGAGCAAACCGCACGCAGAAAAAATCGGTGAACGAACAAGAGCGCGTTACCGCGCTAACGCTACGGGCTGCATCCGGTGGTATCACCATTACACCCTATTACGTACGCCACTGATCGTCGATCCACCACTCCTCTTCTTCGCACTCGTTCCCGATGATCGGAGTTGCGCGCGGCGCGGTTGCTAAGAAGAGGAAGAGGAGGAGGAGAACGGGAAAAGAGAGAAACCGCGGTATTCGGCCAGGCGTGTGAGGTTGCGCGGTCTTTCTCTCTCTCTCTCCCACGAGAGAAGAATGGCGAGAAACTCGTGCAACGGACGGAGCCTGCCTCGTCTCGCTCTAACGTTCGCTCGTTTCACGCCTCGCTTCGGCTTTGCCTCGCTTCGACTTGTCTTCTCCCCTTGCCGCGTCTCGCCTCACCTTGCCGTTCCGAAGGTGGTATTAATTGGCGAGGAGCCCGGTCGCTTATGATTAGCCCGCGCAGCCGCCGATCCTCCTTCGGAAACCGACCTTGTATCTACTTACGTCCGTACGTATACATGTAAGGCCGAATCACCGTGGACGCAAAATTGGGCGACCAATCGGGATCTAGAAAAAGGGGCGCAACTAGGATAGTTTCCTTCTGTCTCTCGCGAAATGTTCGAGCGTGAGTAATATTTCGGGAGATATCGGCCGGTTTAGGATCGGACGCTAATACAGCTGGGCAGGTAGTGCATGCCAAGGTGAGATAATTACAGAGCGGGTCTCGGCCGCCAAGTCAAACAACCTAAAACATCAACCTGCTCTCCGCCATAGGCGCCCGAATCCGAGGTGGACGAAACATTTTCCATTCGGAGAGAACGGACGTGCGCGGCCGTTCGTAAAGCAGGTAACCGCGCGCGCGCGCGCGCGCGGGAACTTTTGCTCGTCGACGGGATAGGGGCCTTTTATTCCGAGTCCGAGATCCGGGCGAGCTAATCGATTTGAAATTGGGCCCGTGACGGTCTTCTTTGACGTACCTCGTGCTCGTTCAATTTATTTGGTGGCTCCGACCACCCCGGCGTAACCGGGGCCTCCGCATTGTTCGTAACGGACACCGGACAACAGTGCCCGCACTTTTTTTTTACACGGCATCGAAGACGAATCACCGTCGTCACGGTACTCGCGCGTACCGAAATATCTTTTGTCGCTCGCAAAATTGAAAATGTCCGTAAACCGAAGTAAGTGACGCTCCCCCTCTCTCTCTGCAAACTGCGTCTTACGAAATTAATCGGAGTTCTTCTCCCCTCCCCCCCAACCCCCTGAGTCGAAGGGGAGGGGAGAAGGAAAGGTCGTTCGTCGGGTCGACCGCAATCGGTCAAATTAGTCGGGTTTCCACGGGGTGTGGCTTGGGTTAGTTACGCTTTAGGTGTCGGGTGGGTTGGAGAAACAATTTGTTTGTTCTGTTAGCGGCGCGCCACGCTAATGACACGTTACGTCTCGACGACGCGATCCAGAAGGGACAAAGTACTAGCCGAGTAATCCGAGTAGCCCCGTTCCCGGCAACACGAGAATTAATTGCGTTAATCTCGCGTTTTACGAGCGCGTATCACGCGTATAGATATCGACGAGCGATTGACCTGAAATTCTCAGAGATGTTTTAAGGATTCCGAGGGCGTCGTAAAACTCTCCGCTTTACCGCCGGCGAGAGATCGAACGTTGGCGAAGAAGAAGAAGAGGAAGAAAGGCGAAAGTGATGGCCGGTCGTTAAAGATCGGTGTTTTACCCGGTTGCGAGAACACTGTGTCTTTACATCTTTGTAAACGTTTGAGACGTCGTCTCTATCTTCGTCCGCGCGAACTAATTCCCGTTAAGATTGTCACCACCTCGGCGACGCCGATCGATCGTCATTGTTTATAGATGAGAGCCGGCAACGCAACGTTACGTAGCACCTGCGTGTTTCCACGGAGGGGGTCGCGAAACTTTTAGCCACGCAATACTCGTATACTATGTGCGCTAACTTTATTTATACAGGAGCCGCGCATTCACCCGGACAAATGCTAACAACAAATAGCCCGAATGCCAGAAGAAGAGGCGGTAACCTACCATTATCGTGTGCTCCGACGTCCTCGCGTCGTAGCGTTTAGTCACGCGAACCTTCGAAAGAAAGGGGGGTAGGCATGGAAAAAGCGAAAACGATGTACGAAAGTAATAACGCGCACCAATTAGTTACGAGAGAGGAAAGCAAAAACCCACCCGCTGCCGAGAGAGTACTCGGACGACGTTAATGTGTTTCACTTTTCGAGAGCGCGACGCGATTGATTTCCAGCGAAATTCACGAAGACCAAGGGCGAAATCGAACTGGAAGGCGTTCGCTGGGGAACGAGGGAGGGAAAAAGACGGAGGTAACTCGTAGTTCGGGGCGGAGCACGTCCCTCGCCGGAGCACAAAGCGGCCTGAGGTATAAATTGGTTTGTTTGCCGCGGAGATGAAAGGGGCCGCTAAATGCTATCTTTAAGGTGTCGGATCAACGCAAATGTGGCTGAGTTACTCGTAATTATAGGATACTCGGAGCTCGGACCTACGCTCGGAGCTCGTCCGTTCGCTCGCTCCGCTCGCCTGTCTGCTCTTTCTCCAGGCTGCCTCGTTGCTGCTCGCACTGGCGCGCTTCTCGGTGGACCGCGCCGATTCCTTTCGTTCTCCGCCGATCGGAAGCTCCCGTTCGATCTCCTCTACGCCACTGGCGATGCTCTTTATCTCACTGTTTCCGACGAGATGCTTCTCTCCACGGAGGAGACTGTGGGGCGCTGCGAAGCGGCCGACATTATAGTACAAAATAATAATTCATAAATTATACGCGCCACGTCCGTTTAGTGCGGTGGCTCTCCGCGCGGCTTAAGTATACAGCTCACTGCACGCGAACGAGACGAAGGTCGGGAAATACGCAAAAACTAATCGCTTCGCTCGAGCGGCGGGAGATAGTAGTCAATCGTCCGTCGAATCAATTGTATCGAACGGTAATCGAGCGACAGATCGACACGAAAGAGCGACGACTTACATGACGAGCGCGCACGGCCGGCTTTCATCCTGTGTAACGCCGTAACCGGTAGCGTGCCCGTGTGTAATTTGCATTAATTATCTTCAAACCTCTCCGCACCGTTTGCCGTGAGCATACGATGAGGCTCGGAGATACGGAAAACGATGTATCGCGTATGCAAATAACGAGGAGGAGAAAAGATGAAATACGGATCGAGACGACGGATAGATCATTGAGCGACGTTATCGCGAGAGAATTCGATCGCTGTTGAAAGCGGACAATTTTCTACAACTATTTTCTACAAACATTTTCGCGCACGATGTGAACAAACGTTCCCCGAGATCAGTTCTTACCTACGTATGTTCAATATATAAAGTGCGTCCGGATATACGTTAAGGACATAACGCGTATCGATTATCGTTCCAACGTGTATACTCGTCTGCTTTGAATGTGCGGTTTCGCCGCGGAAGAGATAAAGAGCGAGCGAGAAAGTTAACTCCTCAGTCGTCGCAGGTCGTTGTAGTCGCGTCGAGTCGAGTTAGGCCCAAGTGAGACGAAGTGAGGCGAGGTGAGGCGAGGCGACTCATCACGCTTGTTTTCCGCCTGCCCGCGATTAGCGAGAGTCATCCTGGGGGGCCTTCGCCTTTCGCACCTTTCGTATCCTTTCGAAATGGTTTCTTCGCGCCGGCGAACGAGGCGAAAAGGGATGGACGAAGTGGGAGGCGAGACTCGGCGAGGCAAGGACGGGAAAGTCGTTCGGAAAATCCTGACGTGCCGCCGCGTCCTCTGCTTCAGAAGCGGTGAGTGATGAGTTTGTTTATCAGTTTGTTTATCGGACACGTGTAAACCGCGCGATCGACGCAATTAATAATATATATTAATATTCATGGACCTGTGTGTTTTACGAGCCTTTGTTTCGCGTATCGTGCGATCTTCGTTTGATTTAAGTTAAACACGTTAATAACTACTTAATATAATGAGCGCGCTCTGATAAAGTCAAATGATAGGCTCGAGCGAAATAATTAGCATTTGCGTGGACACACGTACGCACCCAGCGTAACTCTCGGCAAAGTTAAGAAGAAGAGTCGAAAGATCGTCGTAAAGTTAAGACACTTTGCACCTTAAAAAATTAATTCGCGTTTGTTTCCGTATTTATTTTCGCACTCATTACCGGCATTAATGTCGATCGTTCATCTCAATTGTGCAAAAATTGTCTAATATGTCAGACTTTGGCACGCTGTGTTTATATTTTGCTTATTGCTCGAGAGTCTAAGTATTACTTTCAATGGTTGAATAGATTCGCTGGCGTCTTAACGTCGTCGCTACGTTTTCAACGAATAACATTTCAACGCAACCAACGGAGGCATCAAAACAACCGAATCACTCTCTTGACGTATACCTTCATGGAGATACATTGTATACTATAAACCGCAATTTACAACACAATCGAGATATGCGATATATAGGACATAAGTACGTTACGTATCTGGAATTGGCGCGCGAATGAAACTTTTACTAGTCAATTTTACTCCTAACAAAGATTAAAAAAAAAAAAAACTAGTCGAGGACGTTGATAGTATATTTCAGTAGGGCAATAAATTTGAATGCGTAGGAGCGCAAATATTCAAGTAAGAAATAGATTTCCTTGCAATTTCGATATTCAGGTTTCTGTGAAAAAAGATAGAAACGATTGTTGCATAAGGACACGTTTTAGTTTCTACGTAACAATGATACCGCGTTCTTGTCACGGTAAGAAAGTTTCTCGTTACATAAGACTTTCCATTTGCTGTGACTTTAATTTTGACGGGTAGGACGGCCGAAAGTTTCTTCTCGATGCGATGGGTGGCTTCTTCTTGACTTGTTAATCACAGGTCGTATATTTACGGGCATGTACTTATTACAGGACAACTTATGTCGGAATGATATTGCACAGAGCTATATAGATGGAATTCGACTCTTGTCGCGAAACATAGGTCGTGTAAAATAAGCTCACGGAGAGCTGCGCGTCCGAGCGGTAGCGATCCGACGTTCGATCGGACACAGTTTTTACCAAGTCTCGTCGCATTCATCTCACCTTCGCCCGGTAGGTCCCCTATAAATACCAGAAACGCGCGTTTGCCCCGAAGGCGTTCTCGGCCGAGGACGGAGCAACCGTAAAGGACCTGGAACGCTAATTTATAGCTGACCGCCGCAATACCGGTAATCTAATTAGTTTAATGACCAAAAAATATTTCCCGACTCTTTCTTAATCCGAGACAGGTAGCGCCGACCACTCGTCTAGACGCGGCGGCGAATGAGTCAAGGCTTATCCATGAAAGAGAGTTTGATTATTAAATCTCTAAAGGTAAAGACGCAATTAGTGCTGATTTTACTCACACACGATATTTTTTTTTTTTTTAAGAGAAAAACTGGCCGCACGGGAAAACGGTTGAAAGGACGGTGCATTAGCCGAGTCCAAGTTTTCGTTTCCGCGCGCTCGCGTGTCCGAAATTCCGCGTCGACACACGAAACCAGATGCGTCATCGCGAAACGGACAATTACGACGCAACCGATAAAGGTGACCACTTCCTCGAACCCTCCAATCATATTGTCGTCGTGTATCGTTGACTCGTCAAACGCGTCGGCTGATACAATACGCGCCACCGCGAGAGCATAGCCGTCGGTAAGAAAGCACCGGATGTGCGCGAAAGTTCCTCTTCCTTACTCTCGACGAAAAAGCATGCGCTCTCGATTCGATCAATCGAGACGTCGTTGTTCTCCCGAAAAGAAACGAGCACACACATACGCGCGTTGTAATTATCGCTGAGGGGGAAGAAAAAGTAGGAGGAGGCTCAAATCTGCAGGAGAATCGCGACGCCGGCCAACGTCCACTTGGTGGGTTTGTCGCGGGTCTTCAGGTTGAACGTCCAGATATAGGTGGGACCGCGCGTTCGAGTTCGGTACAACGGGCACTCGTACACGTTCTTCGTCTCCTGCTTGTCCTGCGTGATCGCCTTGACGAACACCACCGGCATCAGGGACAGCAGCTCCTTCGGCCGGGAGTCCGCGATGAAGCCGGTCGTCGCGTCCCATCGCGCACCCTCCACGTATAGGCCGTTCACGTAGGCGCCTTCGCGCGGCGCCGCCCTGGCCGAAACTCTCCTTCTTACCGTCTCGCCGGAAAACAATCGATATTTACGCGTCGAAACTCACGTGATTTCCTCCTTCTGCTTCCTGGTTACGTCGCAATGCAAGCACATCTTGTCCAAGGGCCACTCGTTTTTACGGGCGGTCTGCTGCATTATGGCGGTAAGGAAGGACTGCGGATTGAAGAAACCACCCAGCCAGATCGACGATGGCAACTGTGTCGAAGTACAATTTGAGTCGAATTTTTTCAATATTTTTCGTCGTTCGCTTACGTTAAAGTCGGCCGTCCAATTCGACAGCTCGGTGATTCGACTGAGCAAATCCGCGAGCCAGCTGGACAGTCCCAAAGTGGAGGGATAGGCGTATCTGGTCCAAGACGGTGGCACCGACTCAAAGAACAGATGATTCTGCAGATCTTCCATGTCCGCGCTGATCGTGAGCTCGCCCTAGAACCGTATTTCTCGATTGATCGCCTTGCGCGACTTCTTTTGTGGGTGGGATTACCTTCAGACCGAGATCGAGTTCTCCCAGGGATCTTTTCAGTTCGTTGGTCAACGCGTTCATACGCTCGCATTCCTGAAGAGCCACGATGACGAAAGGTGTACGATCTTCCACCTGCGAGTCGCTTACTTTATCATTACCGTTTAACGCTTATCTTAATTCGACAGTTCGGAGTGTTTAACAACCTTGCTCATTAACTCTTGCATATTAAACTGCTCGGGAAGTTTGTCCAACAGATCCTCTATTAGAGCCTTCACCTTGTCCTCTTTCGACAACACGCCGACTGTCGCGTCGACGATGTCCCGCGGTTGCATCTCCCAGATCGTCTTGAACAAATTCTCCGCCGTGCTCGTGAGGAATCCTGCGCGATGGGAGAATTCATTATTCGATTCGCAAGTAAGAGGGATTAAAGCGTGAGAAGGGAACGACTCGCTTTTCCCCCCACGATCGATCGAAGAATTTCACCGATCTCCGCGTTCGGGTGAAGTCCGTATAGCACGGGGCTCTCCGCTGGCAAATAATCCTCCACGTACTGATGATAGCTCGCGTAATCGCCACTGGGTGGCAGCAGAAAACCCGGGGCCAGATACATCTCACCCTCGACCAGTTCCGGCTGGAGATACTCGAGGAGGTACGTCCGACACAGTCTTCGGTCCCAGTCGTCTGTTATGTGACCGCCGTACATGATCTCGCCGAACAAGTAACGTAGATCTTCCCATGGTACCTTGGCGTTGCCCTCGAGATAATTCAACAATACCGACGCACTAATGGTCAAGTCGCCGACATTGAACGGATACGACTGCAAAGATATCATCTTCTCCTTATTGCAATCTATTGGATCACATTTCTCTTTGCATATTTACATTGGCTCGGTAGGTGACGGGCTCTTTAAGATCGCGGCTGTCGATTTTTCATTGTATGTTCAATGACGGGGCTATTCTCCGGACAAACGCACATTTCATCCTCATTAATCCTTCGCGAATATTCGTTTATTATCCTCTCGCGAAATTAAAAATATCACAACAGCCGTTTTCTTATCCGCGTTATCTTACGAGTCGAATCGTTCGAACAGTCAGATTCATGGGTAGATTTATACCGACCCTGTTCCATCCTTGCGCCCCGAATTTTCTGCGCTCGGCTATGGCGGCGTGGTAATAGCAAAGGGCGAAGAGAATAGCTTTGAACTCGGTCTCTTTGCCGCAGGCCTCCAGCGTGTCTTGGCTAAAGTTATCCAGTGCTTTGTGGATATTGGCGCGCATACCCGTCGGCGGTTCGTTGGTGATTTTTATGGCCGATTCCAGTATACCCTGGTATCAATCGCATCGATATATCGGTCGAGCGCCAAATTTGCCGAGAACGTATTTTCGGAAAATAACGCGACGTTTCTTTTTCTCCAGATAGTGAATTCCCGCACATTCGTTGGATAAAGCGAAGGAGGTCGTGTCGTAATAAATCGTGCGTGAGTGAACGAACAATGCGTCACTTTCCGAGCGCGTGTCGGAGCGTTTTTAATACCTGCGGTATTATCGACTCGTGAGGGTCGGGACTCGGTTCCGCGCTAATGTAGAGACGATAATCTTCGTGCGGCTTCTCCGAAAGCTGTTCCATCTTCTTCTCGAGATTCGGCAACCACTTTCTCACCAGATGAACGTTCTGGAGTATAACCCAGTGACCGTTGTGCGCCGAGATGTCCATCGTCTCCTCCGCGACGGGCTCCTGACCTTGTCCCAACGATACATTGTGGAAATTTTGCGCGTCGAACGTGAAGCCGAGCCGCTTGCCGAGTTTCTCCACGTCCTACGGGCGTTCATTCTTTATCGTTTTCCAAATTACTTGATTTCTTTCGAAAGCGATATATTTGAGTTGCATCACACGTACCTTCAAAGGATCGACTCCCGGAGATAGAATAAAAAATACCGGCGTGTTCGCGCACATATCTTGGAACGTTTTCTCGAAGGGTTCCGCTCGGAACTGTATAAATTTGTTGCCCAGCTTCTCTTCCACGAAGCATCTGCGTCGTTGGAACGCATTAATGTCGAGAGGTAAAAATTCGAGCTCCGGATATTACGACAAATTACCGTATAGCATAGACCATTCGATCCAGTCTCACGCATCTCATTATGCACAATCTCTGGAAGGCCGTTTTATTTTTCCAATCTTGAGGAAATTTCTCCCTCTCCGGCGTTTCCGACTCGACAAACTTCTTCCATCTTCTCGCGGCACCGTCCATGTCGCGATCCAGATTGTGGAAATTTTCCATACCGCTCAGATACTTGACGCCACCCCAGCCAACGTTACTGAGAAAGTCCACTGGACTCGTTAGATCCGGCAAGTAAGGGAATCGCAGGAGAAAGTCCACTTCGACTTGCTCTATCTCCTCCGTTTGCAATAGGATCTGTAAACCGTAACGTTCGTCCGCCTTACTATACACACACGGTCGACCAAGGTTACCTCTTCCGACGCGTACTTTAAGATTAGATAGCGCGGAAGGATTTGAGTACCTGAAGAGTCAGCTGGCACAAAAATATGAGCTTGTCGCTCTCGAACAGTCCTCGGCTGGTGTACGTAAAAACCAAATACGTGACGCTGTCGATCAAACTGGCGACGCGTTTACCAAGGATGTCCGCCGGCTCCGCAAATTTAATGGCGTTCTGGAAGACCACGCTGAACGCCTTCAGAGAAAATTGGTACAGCATGTTGATCTTGTTGAGATCGTTAAGGATGAAGTATAGGAGGCTGGCCCTGGACGCCACGGGCCGGTAGGACTCCCGCGCCTCGTCTATCCTCGTAGCGGTAACCTTCGCCTCGATCGCCTTTCCCTCGATCTCGCTGGCCGTCTTCTTCGTAGTCTCGAGGTTCACTACGAGGGCGACGTCGCTCAGTATGTCGGGACCCGCCGACGACAACCTTGATAAAAAAACAAAAGGAATACGCTCGAGCGAGACAATCGCTTCTATTCTTAACGTTTGAAGGATAGCACGACCGGTTCAACCCGTTACGCACCTGTGCAACAGATCGTCCTCCAACGCCTTCAGCGTGATCTTGAACGTGTTCTGCTGGGTCGTGAGCTCGGCTTTGGTCGCTTCCAAATCCGGACGCTCCGCTTTCACGACGGCGCCTAATAGCTGCTCCTCTAAACCGTCTTTCGTAACCGTAAAATTGATGAGCGTAGTTTGAGCTTGCATCTCCGGCTTGTAATGGGGATTCGCCAGTTTCGTTTGCAGGATGAGATGGAATCGCGGGTCGTAATACACCTCTTTGTCTCCTACCTTGATGGCCCTTGGTAAATCGCAAGGTCAATTTTCCTAGCTGGATAAATCCTGGTTGAGAGAGAGAGAGAGAGAGAGAGAGAGAAATACCTTCCCCTCTTGATCAAAACTCGAGCCAGGATCGGCTCTAAAACAGCGTCGACCGTCTCCACGATGCTCTCCAGCAGCACCACTCGGCCATTCACGATGCCGTGTTCGATTCTGTCGAGATAATTCTTGTCAGTCAAGCGCAGCACCATCAGATCGTCCGCGTATTTGTTCTTGATCCACCTGATCCCTTGCAACTGCGGGTCGATCAACAGCGGCCATCTGGAGGAGTTGCTGAGTATCGTGGCGTTTTCCGTGGACATTCTGTCCGTGGGTAAACCTGCGCGCGTCACGCTATATTTAATACTCGCGTTTCCTCGCGTCCGGTGAGCGCCTCTCACCGTCGTTATTCCACTGGGCGATTTTCGCGTCGTCGGTCATTAAAGACAGCGGATCCAAGTCGGGTGTGCGCGGTATCGGCACTTGCAGCTTGTCGAGGAACGGTAACCAATGTAAATTCATGAGATCCACTCTATATTTCCTCGTGAAGCATCCCATGTAAGAAATAAACGCCGTGACGAGCAGCACGTTACCCGGCAGAGTAATTCCGGACTTCTTCAATCTGGTTTTCATCGTAAACGTGTTTAGGAATCCTCCGTCGGGTAAAGCGCGGGAATCGTTATTATATCTCAGCGAAACAAGTGTTTTTTTTTTCTTTAAGCAGGATATCGTACACTTGCACGGTCTCGGCCCAGCGAATGTTCTCGGACGCGAGGCCGTTTACCAATCGATTCGCCAGATTGATGGTAAACGCGGTCGCTTCCGCTTCGTCCTGACACTTTTGCTTCGCTGCCAGAGCCACGCTCATCTTCTCGTCCAACACGTCCAGCACCTTTTGAAGCTCCTGAACGAGATAATATATCGCGCGATAATTAGTCCAGCGACACACAAGGTAGAAGCCTTACCGTCAAACGACTTCTCAAGGAATTCAATTTGTCCATGGCCGTCCTCAGCTCGAAGTTCGCCTGAGCGAGCGCCGCTCTCAGAGGTTTCACGCTCTCGTTGATGTAATGGAACACCATGATGTTTTTCACCCAGCTGCAGAGCCCCGCCGCCGCTTGCGATTTCGAGTAGACGAACTCCGGGTCGAACTCTGCGATTCGCCGCGCCGCACTCTGTGAGTCGAGAATTTCAACGGCGCGCGCGTTTTTACCTTTGTCGGTGATGTAAGGCTGAATCGCCTTCACGACATCCGGATGTATGTTCTCTTTGTCGTAATTGCGCAACTGCGTTAGAAATCCGTCGATTGATCCCATTACCACTCTGCAAGCCTTCCAGCTCCTGTCCTTCGGCACTTTACCCTTCGGCGAGAACAGGACGAGCACGGCCTCGGCGACTTTCGCCACCGCTTCCGGCGGGGTCCCGAACGATTTCAGTTCCGTCAAGTTGTTCTGCGAGCGAAACGAGGATCGTTCTCGAGATTTCAACATTTTACGCGATATCCATGTTCACCTTGTTCAGGGTATCGAGCGCTGCTTCGGCCTGTCTCACCGCCGGCTCGGCGCGGACCAGGTCTTCGTCGCAACGCCTTTGATTCTCCGACACGGTCTCCTTTATCTCCGCCACCCTCGCTTCCTCCTCGGACACTGAACATTTCCTCGTTATTCCCTCGCCTGTTATCACCTCCGCTCTCTAATCTTACCGATAGTTTTCTCCGCCTCCGCTTTCGCGTTTTCCGCTCGCACTTCGACCAATATTTTGTCGGCTATCTCGTTCTTCTTCTTCAATTCGATCTCCTGAGCGGCCAGCACGATCTTCAGCTCGTCGACCTAAATAGAATAGTTTGGAGAAACTCGCGAGAGACTGAGGGGAAGACGAGCTACCTGAACGGAACAAGACTCGAGCTTGATCAATCCATCAGTGAGACGCGAGATCATCGCTGTCAGGTCGTGAGTCTTCTCCGTCAGCAGCTTCGAGTACAAAGAGATCTGCTCGAGGAACGACTTCGGCGTCGTGTAGTTGTATCTCCTCTCGTTTCGCAGATATATCTCGGACGTGTGGTTCACGCTCGTGTGAACGTACGACATGAAAAGCGACGCGGACATCCGGTATTCAGCCGGTAGCTCCTCCAGCTCCTGCGAGCAAAAGGACGATCGTTCGTGTGCGATACAATATGTAAATATATTCAGTACCTCGAGGAACGTCGCCGACACGGATTCCAGAGCCTCCTGTGGCCAGTCCTGAAACCAGTCGATCGCGGTGCAATTTACTATCGCGGGGAACTGCCTGGCTCTTTTCCGTAGAGTCGCCCCGACCGGCGAGAAGCACAGGACGCATCTTAATTGCGTTCGCACGCGCTCGATGAAGAATTTCCAGCAGTTCTCCTTGGTGTCGATCGCGCCGGTTTGCTTCACCTGAAGCATCTTCAAATTAATTCTTCTCAAAAACACACATTCGTCCCGTCTCACCTCGTTGCGCACGGCGTCGACGATGCCGTCCGCATCTTCGTCGGTGAATAATTCCGCAATCTCCCCGGACGCCAGCATATCGTTCACCACGACCAAGAACTTTTCCTCGGCTACTTGAGAATCGCTCATTAAGAAGGTAACACCGATATCCTTGACACCGGCCTTCAGATACAACACGGCCAAGTCGGCTCTCAGTTCGTTCAGCGAGTAATCTTTGCGCAGCTGTACTTGAAACACCTGTGCGTCTTTGCTGAAGTAATGGGTTCGTGCGAAATTGACACGCTTGCTTACCTCCAACGAGGAAACGAAGGAGGCTAGGCGAGATAAGGACTGCTTGCCGCTACCACCTACGCCCACCAGAAGCGCGTTGCCTCTCGGTGCCTCCAATATTCTGTTGATACGACACACGTGATGCACCGCGTCCTCGAACAATACCAGATTCATCGCGGACACCTGCGTAACAACAGCGCGCTCGGTGACGCTCGTTTACGTACAACGATGCTCATTTACCAGCTCGTTGTAATTGCGCAGAGCGTCGTCCAGTGATTTCACAAGTTGCGTCCAGTCTTTAACAGGCGCGTATTTCGGCTCGCCGATCCCATCCGCGAAGTGGCAGTATATCAATGGCTGCTTCAGTTCATTTTCGTCCAGTTCCTGAACGCGTCGATCGAACGAAAAAGAATGAGAAAAGTGGTAAAAAAATGATTTTATAAATAACGTACAGGTATATTCTTGCGAAGCGCCTCGAGCAACAGTCGATCGAACATTCTCTGATCCTCAAAGTTCACCAATTTGTCGCGATATACCCGCGTCGCTTCGTGAGCGTAAAGTCTGACTATGTTACTCGGAAGTGGCAGGACGTCGCCGTGGGCGAACAGCATTCCCTGCGTGTGAGAAATATGAAAAATCGCTCCTTCTCTCTCGTTGAGAGTCTTACTTGGAATATATTGGTCAAGTCGCGCAAGTTGAAGATGTAATGGAACTTGATGACCGTCGGTAGGAAGGTCGCGGATATCTTGTCGTGGAGGTACAACGCGGCGTTTATCAAGGGAACCGCGAATTTTTGTACCGCCGGATTAAACTTGGTTCGCGGGTCCGTCACGTGCTGTTCCAGGATCTGACTGTATATCGTCGTGAGCGCCTCGGCTTGCGGGAAGCTGACAAATCGATTTCGCGATGTATAGAATGAAGGAAATCTCTTCTCTTTCGTTCGAATACCTGACTGCGAATACGGCAAAGTGTCTCTGTAAACGCGGATCTATGGTGAAACTTCCCACGGTCGGGTTCATGCAAGATACGTATTGCGTATTGTGAATCTCCTTCAGCGTCAGCTTCGTTCGGTCGTACCTATATCGGAACGTATAAATCCACCGCATTTACGTAAAATCGAACGAATCTATTACCAGTGATTATAATCGATATGTTGCCTGATGAGAGTGTGAGGCTGCACGGTGCCGTAAGTATCCACTTCCGGCATATTCATGTCGTCTATGAAATATATGAGAAGTTTTGTGCCCGGTGGCCCGTAATTACGTCCCGCCTTCTTCTCCAAATGTTTTTCCAGCATCTTCTGCAACGTATCTTTTCGAACGACCAATATGATCTTTCATTAGACGACATGCGATGTCGCGTTTATTATTTGCGCACCATACCACGGCTCCTCGAATTCACAAATTTGTCGAGTTACAACGACGAATTACACGCGTTAATAAATAAGCCAAATTTTCGCTTTTCACGACTGCAAAAATCATTTTCGTTCCTAATCTATACTTACCCGACGTAGTGTAGAAATTGAAAGGGACGTTCGCGACATTGTAAGTGTCTGGCAAATTCGTCAATTTGTCCGCCATGATGACGCTTTTTCCGCAGCCCGCTCCGCCCACCAACATCACCGGGACACGCTTCTTCACCAACAAATCCAGGAAAAAGCGCAGACGCGTTGTCTCCCCGGTTGGCACCAAAGCTGACTGCATTAAACGTTTATCTTTCGTTTGATTTCTTCCGTTACTACTTATTTTCTCCGCAATTTCTCTTTGTCATTTCGATGTTTGCAAACCTGAAGCGGAATATCCGAGTCCAGCGCGAAGAGGGCAACTTTTTCGGTCCAGGGTACCAACTTTTTTGTCTCCGGTTCTATAAAGTAATTGAATACGTTGCCACCCGCTGGAAACTTGACGGTTTTGAACTCGTTCTGCCACCACTTGCTGAATTCGTTTCGCCAATCTATCAACTGATCTCGAAACATTGCGGAACCAAACGCCCAGATGCAGGCGAATGCAAAATACAATTCGTACCTGAAACGTGAACGCTCGGCTTTTATCGACTTTCAAGCACTCTCGCAGAAGAATCTCATTCATTACCATTCCTTCGGACACTCCGGCGGCACGTTCTCTTTGGTTAAAAAACAGTCGAGCAAATGACAAAGCGTTTCTATGTGACATATTTCCGGTAGAGGAGTGATCTTCTTGAACTTGAATTTTGTCACTTCCAGCAGAGGTGGTACGTACTTTTCGAAGAGAATCGACAGATTAGCGCGTTCAGAATGATCTCTCGTTTCTATCCAACTGGTTACGAATCTGCGGGGAAAAAGTTCTCAGCAAAATTGTTGCTCGCAAATAACGGATATTTATCCCGATTAGTTTGAGAAAAATGAAATTTCCTCACGGACTCCAGCCCAAATCCTGCGGATTGATGTACAAAATCCCCGCTCTGGAGACTGTCGCCGGCGTGGCCGTCCTGAAATAAAGAAGATGAGCGCGCGCGCAATATGTGGATCGGGCGTGCGAACGAAAGATCACCGTAAGTTGGAAACTTCGAACAGAAGACGCATGTGTTTCGTCAAGGCGATTCTCTCGTTACTCGCCAACGTGAGGACTTTGTTGTCATCCATGACCGTGTTGAGCGACTCGATCCACATCGGGTCTATGTCACCGTCGAACACGATCCACTTCGGGCCGTCGCCGGCCATGTTGGCCTGCTCCCTCATTAACATGGAGAACAACCTGCAAAAGTAGCAATAAGAATAGAAAGTTGTACGTGCGAGCGAGCGTTGAAAATTGACGGGTGCGCGCGCTGTCTACGAACCCGTCTTTCCATTCCCTCGTTGCCGGATTAATGACGCCAAATAACTCGTCGTTGGTCACCGCCTTTGGGTTCAGATCGTTGTAGTACGGCTTGCGTTTTTGGCTCGAATACGTTCTGTTAAGCGTTTTCCAGACTTCGGTCTTACCGGTCCCGGCGAGGCCGACGATAAAGACCGAGTGTCGAACGTGAAATAACTCTTCCAATTGTACCACCTGGAGAAAGCTTTCTCTTACGATCGTCAATTCAAGGCGAGCGTGCCTTTCATACCTTCAGAATGAATCCATCTTCTGGCTGCATCTTCAAGTCTAGAGCCGCGAGTTTGACCGTCTGTTCGAATTCCAGGTATCTTCTTCGCGGCACGTCCAACGCGGGAAATAGATCTCCTGGAAGAAAATGCTTTAACTTTACAAGCAAGAGAACGCGGAAACTCTCCTCACCTATCAATCCCATGAACACGGGAACATCATCGGTCACGATTTTCGGCGTGTTGAAATCTCTCAGAGCTCTCATCAGGACCTGGTCCTCCGGTCGTTCCTTATCATCGCGTTTCAACTTTCCAGCGACGACCAGGACGGACTTGATGGCCCTCAAGCCCCAGTCGTAATGGTCCTGCTTGGACAACAGTTCTCGGCACAACGTGTACAGAGCGATAAACTTTCTCGCCAATAATCTAGCCTCTTGGAAGCCCTCGGCCACCAGCATGATCTCGCAAATTAATTCAAAGTCAGGCACCACCATAGCGCAGGGCCTGTCAAGTTATTCGAACGTTCATTGCTTTGCTTCGACGGGGTTAAACGCGTTAAATCTTTACCGGAATAGCGTCTTCAAGTTCTCAGGTAATTCCGTTCTACCGGCGTAACCGGGATTCATCGTAATGAATATGCCGACTGTGTGCACGATATCGAGCTCCGCGCCGAAGAACAGGAATGTTTTCTTTCGGCTCTTCACCCCATCCAGAATGTATTTCACTTGCACGGCCACGACCGACAGCACCTCGACGGAAATCCTGTTGAATTCGTCGAAGCAACCCCACGCACCGGTTTGCGCCAGTCCCTTGTATATGTTGCCGCACGACTGTGTGAGAATAATAAATCGAGGGAAAAGGCTCTTTTCCGGGCCACGAGGGACAAACAAAATGTACCTTGTAATCCATTTGCTCGGAGCAGTTGAATACGTAAACCATTTGTCCGAGGGTTCTGCCGAGATCCTTGGTCGTCTCGGTTTTCCCCGTTCCGGCGGGCCCGGCCGGTGCTCCGCCCATTATCAGATGCAACGATTGCGTCAGCGTAATGTAGCATCTGTCCGTCAGCGGCGTAATTACCAGCCGTGGCACATTGCCCAAGTACTCGTGAGCGTACACGAAAGACGCGTCGCAAATGTTGGCGACGCAATCTTCCGATTTATCGTCCCACCTACGAGGCGAAACGATTTGTTTGTTTTTTTTTCTTTTTTTCTCGTTTATCGCGCCTGTCACAACCTGTGCCTCAACTGCGACTGCCACTGGAAGCTGGACGAGCTCTCCGCTCGGATGGATATTAATTTGCCGACCACGTCGCGCGCGTGCACGTCGATGGTGCAAATGGTCATGATCTTCCGCCGGTCGTTCTCGTCGAGCTCGCCGCGCAAAATCGCGATCAGCGTGTTCAGCTGGCCGATCTGCTTCTTCTGGTAATCTTTGAGCGCATTCTCGAATCCCTCCTCGAGCCGTGCGAACGCCATGTTCACCTCGGTGGTCCACCAGATCTGGGTGCCACACAGAGCCGGCTGCGCCTCGTGATCCAGGATCCAGAGCTCGCGGGGCTTCTCGTCGTACGAGGCGACCGCCTGGCCGAAATGATGTCGCACGGTTCTTCGCATCGCGTCGGTAACGCGATTCAACCAGATCTCAACCTGGCGTCAACAACGATAGACGTGACTGAAATTTCGACACACACACACACACACACACACACCTTTCCGCTGCAGTCGCACGTCCCGTATATGGCCATTTCCTCGCCGTCCTTCGCGATCATCCCGTTCGCGTGCTTCGTCGCTTTTCCTCCTTCCATTTTCCACGTGAGACTCGCCAACGAGTCGTACAACTTGGGCAAGTGCTTGCAGACCATCTCCGGATTGTTCCCTGTTGTTGTTGCGATTCGACCGATCATTGTCGCGGGGAGAAGGAGAGGGGGAGAAGATGTGTTTACCGTTGCTCAGTATGTTGAGTAGATCCGCGGACGAGATAAAGTAGAAGCGCGGGTAGGCCAGTCTCTTTGTCTCCAGGTAATCGGACAGCGCCTTCTCGCAGATGCTCAATTGCCTGTCCAACTCCTCCAGGCGATCCAGCAGTCTCGGCTTGTTCGTCGACTTCACTACGTTCAAGTTAATCGACACTTCTCTCAAGAGATCCTTCAATGCGGGGAAAGAACCGTGTTTAATCCGGAGTATGTATTCGTTGCAGTCGAAGTAATCTACACCTTGAAATCCTTGTCTATCTTCTCGAAGCGCCTCGTCTCTTCCGGCAATTGACTCCTTATATCCTCCGAACCGATGAAGATACTCTCCAAGTACATCCAAGCGCGTTGCACGTGAAACCAGGCGTTGATCGCGGCGTCCGCGTTACTGAGCTTCTGTTGCCAATCGGTCACTTCGCCGAGGAAGTAGGCTACATATCTCGAGTCCAGCATACTTTGCAGTTGCACCTGCACCATCACGGAGATTCGTCTCTTTTCTCCGCTTCGAAAGATCGAATAACGTTTACCTGATTCTCCTCCAGCGTCTCGATCGTTTCTTCGTCTATTTTCAGGACGTTCAGCTTGGTGCGCTCGTGCACCTCCTTGCCGAACTCGAGAGTGTCCCACGTGTTGTGAAGCTCCTTGAGAACCTTCTCCATGTTCATTTCTTTAACCGCCCTGTCCACCGTTTCTTTCACCTCTTCCTCGTATTTGTGAAGCTCCAATTTCAACAAGTCCTCCAAGGTGGTCTTGTCGTCCATCGTGAATTTTACCTGTAGCGTTAATCAACGGTTAGAGTCGTACGAAGCGAACACACGAAGTTAGCAATTTACGCACTCGAGTTTCGGCCATGAGCTGTTGCCAGTGTCTGTCTCTGATGGCGGGATTTTGCAGTTCCGAAACTGCCCTTAATGACGACATCATGTTCCGCACTTGCTCTTCCATGTGTATGTACAAGTCCCAAGTTCGCGCCTCCTTGTCCAATTCTGAGATGATACGACTTTTTCTCTCCGGTCGGCATCTAAGAACCGAACGCTAGCCGACGAGATACTTACGCCTCAATTCCCGAATCAATCTTTTACATTCTTGATCCATCCCTTCGACGTCTATCTTATTCCAGTACGTCGTCTTCCACTCGTCCAGATTCGACGTTACGATATTCACGTAATCCCACAGATTTTTCAAAAGCCTCAGCTCTTTTCTGCCGAGCTTGATTTGTTTAAACTCCGGCACCTGTTGCTCGAATATATTCGCTTGATCATGCAACTCGCACAATTTCTTCTCGAACTCTACGATATCTTTGTTGATGTCGTCCAATTTCTCGTACACGTTAGTGCAATCGAAGCTAGGTAATCGAAATAAATTAAGATGCAAGACAGACTAGGAATTATTCCGTTGATTTGCCAAAATTGCTGATTCGACAACAAAGAAAGACGCGTAAACATACACTGAGAAATAAGTATAATTCGTAGCTAGATTTTTCTTCTCGGTGCAGCCTACCTGAACACGACGTTCTCGCGAAATTCCGCCAGATACTTCTGCTGCTGGAAATCGTAATAATTGAGACGCTTCTTCAGCAGCTCGATCTGACGCGCCATCAGGGGATTCACGATCTGCTTCACCTGCGCCGCCCACTTCTTAACCGTCGCCCATTGCTCCGGCAATTCCGCCAGCCAGACATACGTTTCCTCGTCGAATTGAACTTGGTACTGCCTGAGAAGATCTATAGTCGCCTGTGCGATCGTTATCTCGTGAGTGAGCGGCTGATTGTCGCGAAAGTTTCCGACGATTATTCTTACGTCGGTCGGTTTATTATATCAATTATTACGAATAAGAGAAAGGACGCGACTACCACCTTGATAGGCTCCCACATGTCGTCAATTTGGTACTGTCGATCTCGAACCTCCTTCAGATAATATATGGTATCTAGCAAGTCCTCGTAATCGTCCGCTGCGACCGGTTGCATAAATTTCTTCAGAGCTTTCGTCAGAAATTCGTTGAGATTTCCGAGTCTGTGCGATACGTGTTGTTCGTTGAGACGTTGAGATTAAAATCGCGAGGAAAAAGGATTAACATACTCGCTGTTGACACGATCGATGAGATACGTCTTGAAAGTATTGGTCCACTTGCAGATTATGTTCAGCAGAGCTTGCTTGAATGCTCTCATATCTAATCGCAACCAACGTAGGAAGACCGTTTCGTTCTCGAGCGCGTTGCATTTTCCATAAAGTTCCACAAAGTAGTCGATCTCTCTCTTGAAGTCGCACAATTGCGGCTTTCTCTCTCTCAGGTGTTCCGAGTCTTCAGCCACCATGGCCTTTTCTTTGTCCGTGAGAGCACGGCCGAATCGTAAGAACAAATTCAAATATTCCTGTTTGTCGTCCAGCCATAGCCAGGCAAATTTGTCAAAAGTCTGAAATTCGGGAGACATCACATTGGTTCATCGCGTAGAACAATTTATGCGATGAAACGATCATGGAGTTCTCACAATGATGTATTCCTGTGCTTGCACCAGACCCAGCTTGATTCGATTACACGTCTCCTCGAGCATGAAAACGATACCTTCTTCTTCCGCTAAGTCGTGCTATCGCGAAGCGTTATACGATTATTATAGTATTACACGGCGAGTCGAAAGTCGGTGTACGTCCAATTTTCGACTCGTTTACGTACGTGTTCGACAAAAGATTCGCGCGCGCCTTTTACCGAGCACCCGGTATACGGGGACGTACGCCGTAATGCTCCGTCGCGACGTCCGGATTCACGCGCGGCATCAACGTCCCCATTCTCATCATGTCGAGCAACAGACTCTCGAAGAACGCGTAGAAGCCTTCGGGATCGTCCGGGTCTACCGCAGGATGGAAGAGGATGTTCGGTGGTTGGAGCGACAATTGAATCTCGAAAAGAGGCGACACGTTGCTCTCCGGATCGGTCTCGTCGAGCAGGTAACATATGCTGGAGACGTTTCATCGTTTCTTTTCCGCCGGTATTACGATATCGATAATCGATCAAGTTGCATATACCTGCTGGAAACGGCTTGGATCAGAGCTTTCGAGATCGAATCGTCGACGTAGGCGAGGTAGGGCCTCCACTTGATCTGAGCGACTTGCTCGCTCGTTAACAACGATATTTCGGTATCATCTTTGCCGACTCTCTCCTTCTCTTCCTCGATCCTACAACGATAACGTACGGATGTAAACACACGGCTGACTCGAAGGCTGAAAACGATCCGTACCTCGATTTCTCCGCCAGTGGCCGTTTCTCCGCGTTGTCTTGCTCCTCGAGTATCTCGAGCGTCACTGTGTGAACATGTATGCGAACATAGTATGCTGCGAAAAAGCAGACGAATATATTTTACCTTCGTCCAGCTCGTCTCCCTCGTACATCGAGTCGGGCAGCAGATCGAACAACAGTTTGTAATTTTCGTTCAAAACTCGACTCAACTCCCTGACGGCTTGCAAGATCTTGTCGTATCGCTTTTGAAAGGCTTCGTCGCGTTCAGCCACAGCGAGCAGATTCTCGTCCTTGAGATCCTTACGCTGCAGTATCGGCGACAGCGCCCACGAGTAAATCATTCGCATCAATGCGGCGATGTTCCCTTGAGCGCGAAAGATTCGCGAGTGTAACTTCCGCACCAACGCCAGCAAATTGCCGATGTATTCCGGCACCTCTGCTCAAACGCGAGTCCAACTTTTATTATCTGTCGACGTTCATGTATCGCGCTACTTTACCCGGAGAGCTCCAATCGTAGGTCTCCTGGCCGACGCGAATCAACTCGTCCACCTTTTCGATCTCTCGCCTCACCAGCTCAAACTCCACGGACGAAGTATAAGTTCTGATCCAGTTGTACCTGCCGTGTGAAGAGTACAAACGCGTGAAGAGAGATACAGGCCGCGCCGAGACAGGCTCGCTCACCGTTGCACAATCGAGCTGAGATTGTAGGTACTCTCGAAGAAGTACTGCGTTTTATAATAGAGCTGAATCGCTTCCTCGGGCAGATCTGTCCTCTTCATGATAATCATGTAACGCGTCTCGCGCAAGATCGCCGTCAGCTCCGGGTCGAAGTTTACATCGAGCAGCTGGTTGTCGCGTATCGTTAACAGGCTCTTCGACAAATGAGTGTTGCTGGTGTCGGGCACTTTATCCGCCCAGTTTGTGAATATCTCGTGCTCCATCGCGTCCAGGAGCGACTTGAGACAAAAGTATGCGCTCGTTTTTCGAAGTTACGTTTATAGGAAAACAAGTGTAGAAAATCATTGACAAAATGACGAGCTAGCGTGTACACTGGATTTCACTACGGTTTGAACAATGATGAGAAAAACAATTTTCAAGGATACACAGTTAAAAAATGGTCAGGCTAGAGGAAATTCATCGAATAAATATTTCTATATCGAGATGAAAGAAAATCGATCGACTCGAGTTGGTTCTGCGGAATGTGTTACCTGCAGCTGATCGTACTTGGGCTTGATGTCGCGCGCTATTTTGAGATTTACCAAAGGATGATCCAGCAATTTCACGCTTTGCATCGGATAATCGATCCGTTGTCGCAACTGCCTCAACATACATAACGCACTTGCGACAGGTGGAAAGTGTCCTCTCTCGATTTCGTCGTGATCTTTAAAGGCGCCGTCGAATATGACCTGGAAAGATCAAAGGTAGCGAAAAAAGTCCATCGCTGATCGTACTGAACGCTACTTTAGTGTGCGAGCGTTTTAATTTTTTTCGCAACCGATTATTCGTACGACAGTTGATATTCCGGGGATGAAGAAACTTCACCGTCGTACTTTAATATCGTCGAAACGTTCGTGAATTCTTTGCAGCAGTTTCTCGTAGTTGTGCCACAATTGCGCCATGACGATCGGCCGATTGCCCATCGAGCCTATAATCCACATCAATTTGAACATAATCTCCGTGTTATGGCACTCGGAGAACGCCCGATCGAATATACTAGCCAGTTCTCTGTCAAACTCCTCCATCTACGACGAGCAACGACGAGTATAGAAACAGCTGGATCGGGGGTGTCGGGGGTATACCTTCGCTAAAAAGGAAGTAACATGATCGGTGAATCGCGTGTCTTCCGCCGCTAAAATGTCGTACTCAAGCTCTGCGAATTCATTGTAAATCCTGACAAATTTCTCATGGATATCGTAGATCCTCGAACACAACGTTCTTCCTTTCAGTCCCGCGAGTTCCATCCTCTCCAATTTGAAATACTCTCGCGCCGTCTCGAACAATATCTGTACGGGGGAAATCCCCTCGCTCTTACGTCTCGTGCGAGATAAAACAGCGGGGGAAAGCTGGAAAAGTTCACAGACCTTTATCTCTCCCAGACGTTTCTGAAAGTCTGTTATTCCTCCGAATATCAACTCGTCGTGAAAGTTCCATAGGATTGGCTCGCTCGGCGGCTTGAAGTAAGTGTCCAGTTTAGTCCGAAAAGTTTCAAACATTTCCACATAGTATGTCAGAACGTTGATGACGTGCTCCAGACGCGTCAGACTGTCTCCAACGTCATCCGCGAACAGGGTATTCTGATCCAAGTATTTCGCGGCCTGCAAAGCCGCTGGTCAGCTGGTAGCCGTAGGACAATTTGATCGTTCGAATTGTACCTCGCTTATCAGCAGATTCGATATCTCGACCAATAGCGTGATGATTCGCGTAGAGGTGCAGTAATACTTCGAATTCGACCACAACAGGCACACGCAATGCAGCAACGGCTTCAGCTTCATCTGTATATCTTTGAATCCGGTATTTTTTATGTCCTCGAAATGCGGCTCCAAGGCTTTGAGATAAGAGCACACGTCGCGCGCCTCAATCACCGCTAAAATCCACGGATTCGTCGAAGGGACGGAAAGGAGGGGATTTTCAGTTTTACAGAACAATTGAGATTGAATTGTGTCGTGTTACTAACCGGCGATAACGTTCCTCAGGAGAGTCTTGAAACACGCCGAGTAAGGACTCTTGGTCAGCTCCAAAATAGACGCCATTTTTTTCACTCGGGGATCCCTCATCTGGTTGTAAATGGATTCGACGTTTACGAGCCGCTGACGCCAAAACTCGATTTCTGAAAGTTACGAATGTTCTCTCCTCCTCTAGTTTTGATCGGAAAAAGAGATTCGAGGGAATACCCGCGCTCGGTTGCGGATGTTTATCGATCAGGAAGACGCGCGTGCTCTCCTCGTGAAGCGTGTCACCGATCTGCGTGCACCATTTCATCACGATCGCCTCTATGTCTCTTCTTAAGCGAATATCGACCTCGGTCCCGCCGCTTTGTTGCGTCTTCAGTTCCTCATCGAATATTCGCTCGACGCCCATCGGCATCGGTAGCAACGTTTGTCCCGTCATCTTACCCCTGAGCTGGAATCACCGCGACGTTTTCCCCAAATCTCACAAGAAAGTGGAAATATAATTTATGCAAGCCGAGTACAGGTTGTAAGCGAAATTATTATTGCGTTTATCACACTGAAGAGGTGTCTGATAAGTTTGTTTTTATCGGCCTGCATAAATTATATATATGTTTCTTTGCGGATCGAAATGTTGTACCTGACATATTACACCGCGGAGGTTGTAGACGTGCTTCTTCACGTCCTCGCCGACCACGCACGGCCAACCTTTATGATTCTTCGGATTCGATAGTATCGGTACGTAAGCCTAGCCACGGAACATAACGGTCAATTCCTTGCCATGGGTAAGAAGCAAACGATAATCGCTACCTCCTCGACCAAAACCGACAATTCCTCGATAGGTTTCGGTGCCATATCGCCTGGCATAACGACATCCCTGTAATTTTCCCTGGTAATCTCGACGGGACGCCTCTTTACGAAATACGACGTCTTCGTCCGTGCTGCCACCGGTATCTCGAGAAACGGTATCAACGCACCGGCCGGACTGAATTGTATCGTCAGAATCATTTCCTCCGGTGTGTCCAGGAATCTCACGATCGTCTCCTAAACGCGTTTGTATTTGAAAATACACGATCCGTGTTAATTCGCTCGGATAACGAAAATTGATTAGTTTCTCGGAAACAAATTATAATTATGTGGTATGCTCGTGTGAACAAACTACATACAATTACAGAATCGCATCGCTCTAGTGAACAAATTGTTTTTTTTTTCAAGCATTCACGTTTGAACGAATCGATCGAAGAAAAGCGAGATCGCACCTTGAATTCCTCGTTCGTTAACATCTTGAGCCATTTGTCGGCTTTAATTTTTCTCGAGAGCACCAAATATCTGTAAATGTATTCGAGCCGTTCGTCGTCCTCTTCTCTCTTATCGGCCATTTTTATTTTAACAAATATAACAGTGTTCACGTGAGGGAAATGTCTCGTTATTCAATTGAACGAATTGAACGGCGGGAAAGTCAACGACGGAATGAGAAAATCACGGAATGTTCACGACATATTAGAGAGGAGGGTGGGATAGGTAGAAAAGTATAAAATACGCTTCTTCCGCGCAATGACTAGATTGTCGCGACGATCCCGAAAGTGTCTACCTCGGCCAGACCTGCCTCTCGATCCACTCGAGATAGGAATACACCGCCGTATAAACGCCCGGTACGGGTCCCCCGCAGGTCTGGCCGAACGCAGTGATTCCCACGACGCTGTGACTCGGCCCGGCCAGCATGAGCAAAGGCCCGCCGCTGTCTCCTTGGCAGGCGTCCGCCCTTCTCGTCTCGTTCGTGTCCAGCGCACACAGCATACTCTCGTCCAGGCCACGAGGCAATTTGTTGAAGTCGTTGAACGATTTGGCGCACGACTCCCTGTCGACTAAACTGCAAACGCCAACAAGTGTGTGAAAACGATGACGAGAAAGAAGACTCGGGCGTTACCTGAGTCCCGGCGTCTTCATCAGCTTGTTACTCGGGCCCTCGTCGAAATTGGTAATTCCCCATCCGATGACGATGAACGACACGTTCGCCGACATGTCCATGCTGGTCAGGGATTTCGTTTGTATACAAATCGGCTTGACGTTATTCCCCATGCGCACGGGCGCCCGTAGTTTCAAGATAGCCACATCGTGGTAATTGGCGCTGCGCTTGTACCACGGGTGCGGTATCACGTCGCTTACGGGGATTCGTTGCGCGTTGTCGCTCCTCAGGTCCTCGCTGCCGATCCGCACCTGTGTGGCCAAACGAGATCTCATCCCCGCTCCTCGTCTCGATTTTGACTCCGACCTTGAACCCGAGACCTACCTCGATCGGTACTTTCTCCTGTACGTTACTCACGCAGTGAGCGGCGGTGAGTACGTGTTCGGAGGATATCAGCGTGCCGCCGCAGCTGTACCTCACGTCTCCCGGATTGTCGTCGTCGTCCCGATCTTGGTTCTCATAGCCCAGGGCGACTATGTACGGGAATTCTCCTTGTCCGGCTGGCGTGCCACTCCATATGTGGAATTGCACATCCTCCAGTCGTAGCTTGTCGTTATTCGTCCCGATGTCGTTCTCGTACTGACGGCACGCTGAAAATCGCACGTCTTCTGGCATATTCGTTGGGAACGACCGATTATTACATCACCGCGCGCGTCTTCATCTCGCCGTTCGTTTATTTAAACGAATTCTGGGAAACGATTTGCGCGTAATTTCTGCGTCTTAACGACATACATTAAAGCGCGATAAACGATGACCTCCCGATGCGATTCGTATACCAATAATAATGATGATGGTAAAAATAACGACAAAAGGCCTCTCTCTTTCGTATCCCGGACACGGCGGCGAAGATAAATGCCGCGATCGGAAATCACGGAGGCGAAACCTGTTCTCGAGTAAAGATAGAATGTTGTTAATCGACTGCGAATTCGTAGATGCGCGGAATGCCGATCGAATCTCGGAAAGATGCTACGAAACTACGGCGACTCGTATGATCGCCTTATTAATTTTCCTGTTTTGAAAGGAAGGAAGGAAACACCGTCATACCTATTTCCGCCGGCCGAAGTCTTTCGTTCCTATCAGCAATGTCGTATGGACAGCAGACGATTTCTATACGATCCACGAAACCGCAACGTCCTGCCGAGTCCGAGGACCTCTTACCCTCCAACACCTCCCGCAGTCTGGACGGACAATCGGGTATTTTCTTGCATATGCCCTTATCGCCATTTTCCAGCTTGCACTGACTGCCTTCTGCACCAAGTAGATTCGAATTTACACGTTGCGTCAACATTGGGATCGATGAGGTGAGGAAAAGTCCGGTGTGGGTCGTTGAAACTATAATCGGGGCATCCCGCACTTTTAGTCGCGCGTTAACGAGTCCGCCTGACTAGCTATAAATTTCTTTCCCCGTACGGGGGATTACTCCCGAGATAACGCGCGTCAGTTCTTGCCGCGAAATTCTCTACGATTGATTTAGGAGGACAAATATGTCTATACGTGACGTAGAAAGAAAAAATTTGAATTTGTCAAAATATAGCCGCTCACGAGAGATGTCCGGTGATATGCAAAAATTCCCGTTGCGTCAGACATCCCTACCGAGGGATTTCCTTATCGTCATGAAGAAAGCGACGCGCGCGTAGGCGCACGCAATCGCGCTTAGCGTGAGATCGGCCGATCGATAATGTAACGCTGGAAAATTACGGACGACTTTCGTCGATCTTTCGCTTCCGAGAGTTAATTATGCGCGCAAAGAAACCGCGTCATTCGCGGTTGCTTTTCGGTATTCTCTCCCTCATAATTGTGAAAGAGAACGTTCTATTTCGATATTGTCTCTCTGTCCTTATCGTGTTATCGGGTGAATCACCGAACGGTGCTAATGTACACATCGGAAATGTGAAAATAAATTGACGTTAACTGCGATAACAAGCAAACATTATTTTACTCGATAATACTCGTAACTTTGACGCGTAACAACGCGCGACGTCAATTTTTTTTCGCCGTACTTTTATACGCGTATAATGCAAATATCAAATTGATCTGACCTATTGATCTTAAAATGCCCGAGTTGCTTTCGTGATACTTCACACAGTTGTCAACACTAACACGGCGAAAGAAAAATTCTTCTCCTTCGGAAAAATATTCGAGAAATAATAAAAACGTAATAATTTTATATAATTTCACATCACTATCGATTTAATATATTAACGTGTCGTACCATAAAGTTCCTCGTACACCGGGTAACTGTGCGTAGAAAGCCTGAGTAAGAGGACGAACAAGACCGTGGATAAACCGAAGCCCATCTCGACCGATCGATGATTTATCCACTCACTTTAAAAAAGCAAAAAGCACATATATATGCACATCGTATTTCGTATATTGAGGAAAAACGATTAGTCGGAAGAAGAGTAACCGATTTGAAACTCGGAGCGAGAAGTTTTCAGTTACATCTTATACGAATCCCGTCCGAGTTGAAAGAAACCGATCTTGAGCTTCGATTGAGACATTTATTGTATAATACTTACAATTGGATCGGTCGCTCTTATCCAAAGGACAACGGTGCAACGGTGAGAATAGTCGACGCGACGGACGATTCAGCTGATCCGTAGCCGATTCGAAACCCGACTGACGAGTTGACGCGACAGTGTCTCGGGGTATAGTCATCGCGGCAAAAATAAGAGGAAACTCCGCCACCCGCACGACGGTAGTTTCGATGACGGTACAGCGCGCGCGATTACGCGACGTTTCGTGCGACCGAAACATTCGTTCGAAGTGGGAGGCGTATATACGATAGCGAGCTAATACATCTCTCGTGCGTTTCTCTTTACATACATCCGTCGCAAAGAATTGCAAAAAGTTGTATTTAATTATACACATACAATATTTATTTACATAGTCGCACTTGAAAGCGTACAACACATTGTAAAAAGGCTAGTAGTCTTCCTCTAAAATACACTTCTCCACCAGTTCCCGTAAGCTTGGATTTTCCATTGCAGCTGCTATACGCTCCTTGTCATTAATCTGCTTGTTTACTATAATTTCACATATATAGTTTAAGAGACAGACATGTTTCGGTTAGAGAGAGACCTGTGTAATAACGTACTTTCTTGTTCGGTGGAATGCGCGCCCTCCTTGATATAGATATCTAATTTAAATAATGATGCCAAATGACGCTCCAACTTGATACGGATGCACAGTCCTATAAGAGTCGCCAAAGAGCAGTGAGGTACCGTAGGATTAAACTCCACACGAATTATGGAAACTCCTCCGGGTGTACAGTGACAAATATTGACACATTCTTCATATACAACGTCCAATTGTTCCAAGGTTTGTGGTTTCTCCGGATCTTTGATTGTCCTCAAGAGATCTGAAAAACCGCAAAGTCATTAAAGTGTCAAACGGATGAGTTAATTAAACGATGATACTCAATTAATATGTGGATATCTGGTCGGTGACTATGCAAAATGCTTTGACAAGTGTATAAAGGGATCGTCGTACACTATCTTCCCGACATCGAACAATATCCGAAGACCGACACAAGACACAGATAGTGCGCAACTTGCCGTAAACGGATTCTTTCAATTCTGTATCTGTCTTTAATATCAGAGCGCTCTGATCTCTCACTACCGACAAGTCCTCCGCCGTTTCCATCATTCTCTCCGGCAATACACCATCCTTTATCTTTCCCCCGATTGACAACTTTCGAAAAAAGGATAGCATATTTACCAATGACTATAAAAAAAAACATGAGAACATGATGCCGAATTACGTCATCCGCGTTCAGAGACAAACGGTGAAACGTCGAAGCAAATGTAACCTAGCGTTACGACAACACGACTCGGCGTCCATGTTGGATTTCTTGAAGACCTCTACGTATGTGAGCACGTCAGCGGACAATTGTTTCGAATTCAGCTTGTTTCATTTACTTATCGATAGGTGTTTAGTTAGTAACAATTAAATGCTTCAGTCGTCCGGAGTTGAGTTTTATGTTTCATTTCAGGATATATTTGCATAAGCTGTCCTACTTGAAAATTTTTAATTTACCAAAAACCTTTCTTTAAGACTACTTAACTTGTTATTAAGCTGCAAAATTAGAAAATAAAAGTACATCTGACTTTACTCCTTGAGTCTTGATACTTGGAGATAAAAGAGCTTCGCGGTTGAGCAAAACGTGAAAATCAAATTGCGCCTGATCTGTGATTGAGTCGTACTATTTGATCTCGAATCTTCATTGAAGACTGTGGCAGTTCATAGCAGAAGTTTTGGAACTAGTACAAAATAACGAGTCGGAGCGATTAACGGCCCATCTAGCGCCATCTAGCGGCATTATGAAGAACTCGATCATTGACGGTAAGGGCAGCGATCACGTTGACCACAGACAGCCGGTGTTTTTCTAGTGTCGGCCAATCCAACCTCGCACAATTTGTGTGTGTGTTTCTGAACCGTAAAAAGAACAGGCTTACCTGACAGTAGTCGTAATACGAATCGACGACAAGTCAGGCATACTCTATATTTTACGATTCAATAACAAATGAAACTGTACAACTCTGCGGTAAGGACTCTCTGTGAAACATCTTCTCATTTTCAAGTAGTATATCCTAATAATATATTAGGAAATCTTTTTAAATAAAACGACATGTTAGACGTTTTTTTATTCGAAAGTTTTACTTGATTCAACTTAGAAGTCAAATCTGATTGTGCGCACGCACCGATTATACACATGCATATTTTTGGAGAGAGGTTTCCATGCCATGAATAAATAACATTCCTCGGTGGTTTGTCAGATCACCGAAGGAGGAGCCGTACGAACGCATGAAAATTTGTCTGGCTCCGCCGAGAATCGAACCCGCGACCTCTAAGCATAGACCGGTGCGCTATCTATCGATTCAAGCTCGCGCTCCTAACTACATTGTAAACAAATTATATATTTTGACATGAGTGAGTACCTCTTCTGCAATGTTTCTCAATATTATATTATTAAAAATAACTCGTATAATTATTACGATTACGTCGATTCTGCGTAGGTGATCAGCTAGAGCAACAGTCTGAAGATGCTGTGTTTGAAGTATGTGATGCTCGGGAGAGGTTTCCAATGCTATGTGCTACAGAACTTGGGAAATGCATTAAACTTACCAATGAGATATACGTAAGCATGCTTTGTGAAATATTAATCGCTACATGTGTTCTTACCAAAATATAATTTGTATATTCTGTTACAGATGACAAAAGTTCTTACAGAACAAGCAAAAACCCTGGATATGTCATCTTTGATGGGTGAACGATACACAATACTTGAGAAAGATCTTTCCATAATAAATGGATTGCTAAAGGCGCAAGAAAATAAATTGCGTGTGATGATGGACAAAATCGACAACTTGAAGGCTGCTTTGGAACAAATTAAAAGGGACAACTTGTGCGAAATAAACAGATTATTGTGGAATTAAAAGTATTCTCTCAATGTGTAAATAAATCTACCTATTGTGTTATACACTTGTATATATTATATACTGTGTGTATATATACTGTCAATTATACTAAATCAAAATCAATTATATATGTATCTATATACCAATTATATTGAAATGCAGTTGGAAGAGAGAACGATTCATTAGTAGAAATCTGTCGCTTGATAAAACAGAGTTGGAAGCACACGGTGAAACCTACCCTTCTTGTCGTTTCCGTGACAACGAATTCTGCGTAATGTCAAAACAATACGCGCGCATAAACCGAATTGATGCAACCGCGTGTTTCGTAGCGTAATAACTTTCACAATGTCTACGTTCATTGAAAATGTGTATATTAAGGACGGAGAATACACGAAAACGATATACACTATGGTATGTGTATTAATGCGCAAATAATAAAATGTCACGTAAATCTTATGTTCCACGTGGAATTTCTGTTGCGATAACAGGCACCTCCGATACACATTGCGACAGAAAAATGCTCGTTTTAACGAAATACAATTTTGTTGCAGATAAAAGAACAGCGATACACAGAAACCATAAAAATTTTGCTAAATCTTTTAGATTCACATCCTAATGTACGTATGTTGTGATAAAATGTGATACCTTGGAAGAGAACCATGTCATTTTCAATCGTGAATTTCGAAATTTCCCAAAATGTTTTCTCGAAGAGTTTTTTTCTCCGCCAAGATATCAGAAAATTCCAGTTTTGCACAGAGGTGCCGCGTAACCTAGCGGTACAATTCTTCTTCCAGTCTAGGCCTTGCTTATCGCTCCTGGCCCACTGTTACTTTTATACGCAAGATTTCGTGGCAGCAGCTCAATGTTACGAGAAATTGGTCCAACTGTGCCCGGAGGAAAATATCTACAAACTTTATTACGCCCAATCGTTGCATCAAGCTTGCATGTATCAGGAGGCATGGGCGGTTTGCTCGAGCATCATCGATCAGAGCAACTTGGAGTACAAAGTAAAGAAGTTACAGGCAGCTATAAAATACGGCCAAGAAGACATAGTGGTGGCCAAGAATCTCGTGGATCAGTGTCCCGCTGATGACGTCGATACGGAAATTAATCTAGGCTGTTTGTTATACAAGGTACCGATAGCTCCCAATCTAGAGCAGATTGACTTCTAACTTCTATTCAAATGCAGGAGGAACAATTCGAGCAGGCTCTGAAGAAATTTGCGAATGCGTTACAAATTGCAGGATTCAGGCCTCATTTGTCATATAACGTCGCCTTGTGCTATTTCAAGTTGAAAGAATACGCAGCGTCGTTGAAACATATCGGTAAGATTTGTTAGTCGCGATTCGTTCCACCTTTCACCGAGCCTCGTCGTGTTTCAGCAAACATTATCGAGCAAGGTATACGGGAGCATCCGGAGCTGAGCGTGGGAATGACCACCGAGGGTATCGAAGTCCGAAGCGTCGGCAACACATTGACTCTGCACGAAACGGCACTAACAGAAGCGTTTAATCTCAAGGCCGCTATAGAATATCAGTTGCAAAATTATGACGCTGCGAAAGAAGCGCTGACCGATATGCCGCCGCGTTCGGAGGAAGAGCTCGACGCTGTTACGTTACACAATCAAGCACTGATAAATATGGACACGAAGCCGGGCGAAGGATTCGAGAAACTGCAGTTTCTGCTGCAGCAGAATCCATTCCCACCAGAGACTTTTGCCAATCTGTTGCTCCTCTACTGTAAATATCAATATTACGACCTGGCCGCCGATGTTCTGGCCGAGAATGTGCATCTAACTTACAAATATCTGACACCGGTAAGTTTCATTCGTTTATTGGGGATAACCAAGAGAATCGGTCAATCCGAATGCTTGAACTTAGAATGCTTGCATTTTTTTGTACGAGTGTTATGATCATCCGGATGTTTTCGCTTGTGAGCCTTTACATCATGGCTAGACGACGTACTCGAATCGCTCGAGCTGCCGTTGTACTTCTTCCTGTGCTTCTTGCGTTCTTTCGAAGACTTGCTCTTCTTCCTCTTACCTCTCTCCTCCGTATCGCTGTCGTCCGTGGACCGTCGCTTGCTCTTCTTCGATTTCTTTTTCTTGAATTTGCGCCTCTTCTCCGATTTCTTCTCCTTACATTCGTCGGCCGGCTCCTCGATCTCAGGAATCAGTTCGTACTTCTTGCCATCGGGCGATACGAAACAGTCCCTGGACAAATGTCCCTTGGTCCCACACTTGGTACAGGTGGTATCCAATATTGCTTCCAACTGTATGACCTTACGCTGGACAATCCCTGGATTCTTTCTCCGTTGCATGTCCTTCTGTAACTCTACGCCATTGGGATCCAAATCCTTGCCGTTTCCTTGATTCACATGCTTCATGGACAGCCCTATCTTGCCATCCTCCGCCACAGAGATCACTTTGCACCAGACCCGCTCACCCTTTTGCAAAACCTCTGCAACATTGTCGACATGAGCGGAGCTCACCTGATGGAATCGCATACAAGTCAGTGCGTTATATTACGACAGGGATATATATCGATGTTTGTATGAAATATACCTGCGAGCGGTGTATCAAGCCCTGTTGCGAGCAACCCGGTATTCTGATGAAAGCTCCGTAATTTTGAACGGACGAAACCTCGCCGAGGAATATCTGGCTCAATTCGCACGAGGTCATGTCCGTACCGACTGACGACGGGTTAGGTAAAAATCAATGTAAATATATCGGTCTGCAGGTTAAGCTTGTAACAACACTCAGGGCTGTAATATTTCCCCCTCAATAGGCGCCATTTTGTAAGAGGGCGCTGACCATCTTTTATTCTAAATAGCGCAAGAGTGTTCTATCGATCTTTCGAACGTCCTACGAATATATTCCTATATTCATAGAATGTACCGAAGACATATTCGATGAAAAATTGCACAGGATATTTTATCGAACGTCCTCTCTCTCTCTCTCTCTCTCTCTCTCACGCCGTGTTATCTTTCTGAATGAACGCAGCCAACTAAAGCAGGTAAAAACGATTAAACGTCTCAGTTAGATCAACGCACGGCAATAAATGAGGAACGTTCTTCTCTGTTGCGAATTCTCCTGCCTTAAATATTCCGAACAGGATATATTTTATATTATTCATAAAGAACTGTAAGATGCGCTAGAAGAAAGATTATTTTCAGTATTTGTACGATTTCCTGGATGCTCTGATAACGCAACAAACATCGCCGGAAGAGGCGTACCGCAAATTCGATGATCTCGCTAATAAGCACACGGAGGCGTTGCGCAAAGCGACGAAGCAGGTGCAAGAAGCGAGATTAAATCACGACGACAATGCCGTTAAAAAGGCTGTCAACGACTACGAGGAAGCTCTGGACCGATACGTGCCGGTTCTAATGGCGCAGGCGAAAATTTATTGGGATATAGAGAATTACACGCAAGTGGAAAAGATTTTCAGGAAGAGCGTCGAATTCTGCAACGAGCACGATGTGTGGAAGTTGAACGTCGCTCACACTCTATTTATGCAGGAGAATAAATTTAAGGAAGCGACAGGCTTCTACGAGCCGATCGTTAAGAAAAGATACGACAACGTTAGTAACCATAGATAGTTCCCTAAACTATCACCGCACACGATAAACAAACTGTGAAATTGCAGATCCTCGATGTAAGTGCCATAGTTCTCGCCAACTTGTGCGTTAGCTATATCATGACTTCGCAGAACGCGGAAGCTGAAGAGTTGATGAAGAAGATTGAAAAGGAGGAAGAAGCGGTGTCGTTCGAGGATCAGGACAAGAAGCTTTTTCACTTGTGCATCGTGAATCTGGTGATCGGCACGTTGTACTGTTCCAAAGGTAACTACGAGTTCGGCATATCGAGGGTCATGAAGAGTTTAGAGCCGTACAATAAGAAACTTGGCACCGACACCTGGTTCTACGCCAAGAGATGCTTCCTCTCTCTCTTGGAACAATTGACAAAACAACTGGTGGTTTTGAAAGACTCCACGCTACAGGAGTGCATTCAATTCTTGGAGCACTGTGAAGGTTCGTATTTTCGAATTTACAACGATGCGGTAACATTCACACGCTTCCTTCGAATTTCAGTTTATGGCAAAGACATCATGACTGTGATAGAACAGCCGTTTGATATACAAGATATGCTCAATGTCGCTCCGCAAGGTAAACGGACGGTGGTCTACGAGGCGCGCTATCTTAAAGCGCTATTTTTAAAGTTATAAAAAGTACATATAAATGTGTGTATAACAAATGATTTATGTATCTCTACGCGCGTACTAATATACGGAAATATATATATAAAAAAAAAACGTATGAAAGAACATCATACATACATGTGTATTTTATGCGCCGAATTGCAAAGTAACATTCGTGTCAACCGTATTGCCGTGGGCCCCGAAAAACGCGAAGACGCACCTGATCGCTCGAGTGTTCTATAGACGCAATATTTCATCACCCGATCGAAATCAACATGGTGGTCGACATGGAGCTGCAAGAAGCTAAAGACGCTGTATTTGCGCTGATAAAAGAAAAGGACAAGATCGAATCCGATCTGCGAGCGCTGAAGGAAGTCTTGGACAACGTACGTGTCGCGCGTGCTTTTTCACGCTATTATTCCATGTAATCCGCCATATTTTCTGTGAAAATGTTCTTCTATCGAATAATTGCAGAATCATGTCGGTATGAGCGAACCACTGGTGGATACCGAAGGATATCCCAGACAGGATATCGACGTTTATCAAGTGAGACGTACAAGACACGACATAATATGTGCGTTCTTTACTTTTTACGCCATTTCTATATGTTATTCGCATATTCGAGTGATATGTGTCACTAGGTCTTACAAATGATCACAAGGCTCTGATGACAAAGATCGAGGAAGGTTTACACAAAATTCACGCTCTAACGGGATCAAACGACGCACAACAGGGTATAATTGATGCGCCAAATAGTCGGGAGACAGAAACGTCGGAACCTTTTCTCAGGGTGAATCTAATATCACCTGGTTCACCGGCAGAAAGCGCAGTATGTTAATATAATGGTTTCTCTATATAGCATTAATCTTGTCAAGTTTGCTCACGACATATTTGTTCCAATTAGATGTCGATATTTAGACTGATTCAACCGATTTCTCTTTTCAGGGGCTTCAAGTGGGAGATCTCATATTAGAATTCGGATCGATTCGTTACCGAAACTTTAAAGCTTTAACAGATATTAAGAGGTTGGCAGAGAACAGCAGATATAAGGCAATTAACGTAAAGATTAAACGCAAATCTGACATAATGATTTTGACCTTAACCCCGCATCCTTGGGTTGGTGAAGGTCTTTTGGGTTGCAATGTAATTCCTCTTGAAGCAATTGAAAGATAAAGCTACAACGGAGCAACGATATAGATACAAAGCTAACAAGATTTTCATATGTACCTGTCTTATTTAATATCAATAAACCTAGTATCTTCGTAAACTATTGTGCGGTATCTATTAATATACGTTTTTACAAAATTACATCGAATATATAGTTGAAATGTTTTTTACTTGAGTTGTCGCGATATGACAAAAATTTTTCGTTTAAAGAGGTTACCTTTTACTGCGTGACATCTCATCTTTATCGTAGGTAGATAGAGGAAGGAAATTACAATACCGACCGCGCACGAAATTATGGTAATCACGTTGATTAGCAGGAGCGTTTAGTGTGGCGCGCTGCGTGCAGATGTGACGAGGTAACCTCTCGGGATTGCCCAAGCTTCGATGACAGTTGGTGCTTGCATCAGTCCACGTTTGTCGTGCATTACGAGCCAGATTGTTCGCGTGCAATCATATTTGTGCAGTTTTCAAGAGGAGAAACATTTGAAGAAAGCATGACGACGGAAAATGGGCAGATCAAAGTGGAAAACGGCGTCGTTACGGATGAGGATGTCGTGACACCGTGGATAGTGACGAGTACAAATGACTCTGGGATCGATTATGACAAATTGATCAGTGAGTTGTTTGAATGCAAAGAATAATTATCGGATATCTTACATTTTATCATTTTCTGGATAGATTATATTCTCGTTAAATTCGTAAAGGCGAAACTCGCTGTATAATCGCCACGTAAGGTTCGAAAGTTGTGATTTTTGAAATCAGTTAATTTTTACAGAAAGATTCGGAAGCTCAAAGATCGACGACGAATTGTTAGCCAGATTCGAAAAGATCACCGGCAGGAAGCCGCACCATTTTCTCAGAAGAGGCATATTCTTTTCTCACAGAGACATGCATACCATCCTGAATCTCTACGAGCAAGGAAAGCCGTTTTACCTGTATACAGGTAGAGGACCTAGTTCCGACGCGATGCATCTGGGCCACCTCATACCGTTCATGTTCTGCAAATGGTTGCAGGATGTGTTCGACGTTCCGCTGGTTATACAGCTGACAGATGATGAGAAGGCTATATGGAAGAACATAAAGATAGAAGATGCCATTAAACTAGCCTATGCAAATGCTAGAGATATTATCGCATGTGGCTTCAATCCCGACAAGACCTTTATCTTTTCCAATTTGGAACACATAGGGAAGAATCCAGCTTTCTATCAGAATATGATTCGGATACAGAGATGCGTGACGTTTAACCAGGTGAAGGGTATCTTTGGCTTCGGCGACAGCGATCCGATCGGCAAGATCGCCTTTCCGCCCACGCAAGCGGCACCGGCGGTCGCCAGCTCGTTCCCCTTTATCTTCAGGGACGCCAAAGTGCACTGCCTGATACCGTGTGCGATCGATCAAGATCCGTACTTCCGTATGACCAGAGACGTGGCACCTAGGCTCAGCTTTCCCAAGCCAGCTCTGCTACATTCCACCTTCTTTCCGGCGCTGCAAGGTTCCAAGACGAAGATGTCGGCGAGCGACAGCAACACCGCGATATTTCTCACAGATACCGCCAAGCAGATCAAAAACAAGATCAACAAGCATGCGTTTTCCGGCGGCCAAGCCACTGTCGAGGAGCACAGACAGTTGGGTGGAAACTGCGAGATAGACATATCCTATCAGTGGCTGCGATTCTTCCTGGAGGATGACGAGCGATTGGAAGAAATCAGAAAGGTGGGCGATTTTTTGGGGATTTTTTAGTAGTAAGCTAATCAAACGATGATGCGAGGAATCTCCTTGATTTGTTTCAGGGCTATACTAGCGGAGAGATCTTGACGGGCGAACTTAAGAAGGGACTGATCGAGATACTGCAACGACTCGTGGCCGCGCATCAAGAAGCAAAGTGTAAAGTCACGGACGACGTGATCAAACGGTTCATGATTCCTAGAGATCTCGGCTTTGTATCGAAAACAAAATAACCGTTTAGCGAAATTTACCGCCCCTTTGAAGTATGCGTTTTCTCTATATAAAACTTCACTAGACAAGTATTTAAATTTATTTATTGCAGTCGTCGTTGTCGTCAACAAGTTGTTGTCGTCAACAAGTCGTCCGCACAGTACATTCTACCGAAACCCTCTCCGTTGGAAATTAAATTAATTAATTCTTGATCAATCTGTGTGTTGTTATTATGTAAAAAAATTTTTGCAAAAAACGCTTTCATCGTGTGACAGAAAGGGAAAATTTCACCCACCCTTTTATCCACGCGGGAGAACTGTTATCCAAATTCACTTTCTCACGATTATTTGAAACTGGGTCGAGCGCGCGCTCGTGAGAAGATCGAACGGCGGCGCTCAAACGAACGTGTGGATTAACGGAGCGTAAATAACGCTAATCCAATAATCCGGTCGTAGCGGAATTCCTATATTACTGCGGATCGATGAATGTATGCGCGATCACAAGAACAAATATAATTGCGAGGAGAAATTCATCGAAATCGCGCGCAACGTTCTCCTCCAGTCCGAGTTGATTCCAGTGTACGCGCGCGCATGAGAGAGTTAATTTTACCTCTTCGTGACGACCCTATCAGACGAAATCGGGCAGGAGCGAACGGAAACGGCGCGACGTCGATTGGCCGGCGGTGACGACCGACGCGCGGGCCACTATTAATAAACCGGCGCACGCGCATCGCATCGAGCGCCGTGCGTATCCGCCATTCATGCGAGTCGATTTCGTTGTTCCGTGTGTGCAGAGCCGAGCCATTTCCATCCAGTTAGCCGAGCGGGACGAAACGGTGGATATTCGTTTAGTGGGAAACACGATGCGAGCGCATTGAGAGACATACGCAGCAACAGTGAGCTACAGCAGCGGTGGCTCGCTCGAGCGCGCATAGTAGCCGAAGCGACGAGACGATGATACTTGGTCACGGTCCGCCGACGTAAGTTCTTCGCGTAAACTATTTTAGTCGCGAAAATTCCTCCTTGCCAGAGAGATTCTCTTTTGTGTCGCTACGATATCGGCTCTCCCTCTCTCTCTCTTTCTCTCTCGTGTAACGTAGCGCGCGCGCGAGAACGCGTGGCGTAAACGATCTCTCGCCTTGCACTCATCCTCACCGTTATACTCTTCTTCAGCCTTTGTCCAGTATTTGAATCACTCGGCGACCGGCGTTATCGCGATGAGTTGTCTCAACGAATGAATTCCCGCCGAATCGTAAATACATACATGGTACAGAACGAGTCTTTTAATTTTAGGTGAAAGCGAAGGAAAAGCTACTCGGAAGATCAGTGAGAACGATGCTGGTGAAATAATAAAAAGTAAGCAGCAAATTGATCAGATACGATAAATATTCGATAAGTACTATGGGGGCATTCTTGGATACTCCAAAAACAGAGAAGTGTAACGAACATGGCACTGGCAACGGCCTGCGATACGCAGTCGCCAGCATGCAGGGCTGGCGGATAGAGATGGAGGATGCTCATCGAGCGATCACTGGTTTGGAAGGTGGTCTCTCAGACTGGAGTTACTTTGCAATCTTTGATGGCCATGCCGGTGCATTGGTGTCGGCGCACAGTGCGGAACATTTATTAGAATGTATAATGCAAACACAAGAATTTAAGGCCGAGGATGTTATTCGGGGGATTCATTCCGGCTTCCTCAGACTTGACTACCAGATGAGATTTTTGCCCGAGATGAGTTCCGGCACGGACAAGTCTGGCTCCACCGCGGTCTGCGCATTTATATCCCCGAAAAATATTTATATCGCCAACTGCGGCGACTCACGGGCGGTACTCTGCAGATCTGGGGCTCCGGTCTTCTGGACACGGGATCACAAGCCCGTTGAACCTGCCGAGAAGGAAAGAATCCAGAACGCGGGTGGTAGCGTCATGATCCAAAGAGTTAACGGATCTCTGGCGGTCTCTCGGGCGTTGGGTGATTACGAGTACAAAAATCTGACAGATCGAGGTCCCTGTGAGCAGTTAGTGTCGCCGGAACCAGAAATATTTGTGCGAGACAGGGACGATGAACACGATGAATTTCTAGTTTTAGCGTGTGATGGCATATGGGATGTAATGAACAACGAAGATTTATGTGATTTTATACATTCAAGGCTGCTGCTAACAGATGACTTGGAGGCAGTTACCAATCTGGTTATAGACACGTGTCTTTATAAGGTAACATTTTACACATTATAATCTTGTACAGATTTATTTCTTTTATCTTTCTGTCCCATAAAGTGAAGTAATAACTACCAGATTGAAATAATGAATAAATAAACTTTCCAGATATTATGTAGAAAGTAATACAACAGGAGCTTCTTCCAATTATTCATAAAATAGTACAAACATTTATGTTTCTCTTTCCTCCATTTTTACTATATCAGTTATACGGAACATTTCTACAACTAATTTTTTTCTCATAATTTTACAGAACATGTTGTACATTTTCCTTTCCCCTTTTTTTTCCTATAAAGAATCAGCAGCAGGTTTCAATCCTTTTTTACTTTTTTCTTCTTTTCATACATATATAGATATGTTTTTGAGTTAATGCGAGAAATTTTATTACAGGGTAGCAAAGATAATATGAGTATAGTACTGGTGACGTTTCCGGCCGCACCAAAACCAAGTCCTGAAGCACAGAGGCAGGAAGCCGAGCTGGAAATGGCTTTAGAAAGGAGAATTAAAGGTTCTTTAACTTTTCCATATTTACATTCATTATATTCTTTCTGTTGTTGCATTAATTCGAGGTCACAGTGCCACACACATACCTAATATGCAAACTAGCGATATAAAGGTTTCAACAAATTAATATTTTGTCTGTACATAGCATATATATATATATATGCACACACAGTGATGAATTCTTCTTGATGCCTCTTGATTTCCATTTCATGGAAATTTGCATAAATGTCAAAAAACTAATTAGTGCCAAAGCAGCAAAGGGGAAAAAATTCTTTCTAAATTATAAAAAATATCATGTATCCAAATTGATGCTGTTTGAAAATAACTCGGGGTGATTTACACTAGAACTTTATGTAAACGCAATTATCTCTCTCTCTCTCTCTCTCTCTCTCTCTCTCTCTCTCTCTCTCTCTCTTTCTCTCTCTCTTTCTCTCTCTCTTTCTCTCTCTGTCATACTGAGCATTATTTGAAAATAGAGTTCAGATATTATAATACGATGATTATCTAGATTATCTATAGTCACAGTATTATAATATTGTTAAAGAGAAATCTATTGATATACGCGCGAATTGATAAATCGGTTTATCATTGTGTCAGGTGCTATGTATAATATTCTAAACAAAAGAAAAATCACTTAATGTGTTTTATAGATATTTTAAATATAATTCGATTAAGGGTTTGCTCTTAGAGTCTTACATTTACAATTTATATGTGGATTACTACAGTATATAAGATACAGTTAGTCAATACAAAGGAATCTTTTACCCCAAAATAATAAAAAATGTGTCTTTCCACAATAGTGACATTTTTGTGGTATAAAATATGTATGAGAAACACACAACAATAATCACAGAACTAAATTGTTCAAATGTTAAAGCTTGCACAATTTGTTGTACAGACTATATATGTAACAACAATCATGCAATATACGATTCTCACTTTTTAACATTGCACTATGTGATTAATTAAGTTTGTGTCCCACATGTAAAATACGTTATATCTGTTTATTATAAGGAAAGTTACAAAGTGTTGTTGTTTTATGCTGTCCTGTGTGTCGTTAAAAAGATGCATACTCGTTCAGATCCAAATGATGTGTCCAACATGACGCATTAATCATTTCTAAAGCTTCTGTGGTTTCCCTCGATAGAAGTGTCTCTTTCTGTGTCCGAGTTTTAATTGTAAAATTATGTTTATGGTATATAACTTATATCTAACGCGTATAAAAATGGGTGCAATTATGTGTGTGTCTGAATAAATTGTCATTCACTCAGGTCTCGTGTTGTTGAAATTGTGCATATCTAACTGATATAACATGTATGTATGTACGTACACACATACACGCGCGCGCACACGAACGCACGCACACACACACACACATACATACATACATATTGAAAACTACTAACTTCTGCTATATGTGCTACGTGTCAATATGTCATGTTGCTAAGAAAGCTGTTATTAAGAGAAGACTGATTTAAATTCCATTATAAAACTTGTTAGATATCATTATATCGTAGCGAAACATATTACATTTGTTTTTGTCGTTTTCATTATTAGTATTGTTATAAAGATACGTAATTCGCCAAGTGTCTTAACGACACGATTGCAATAATATATGATGATATTCAAATATAGAAATAGTAGCATTAGTATTACACTTTGTGATCGTATCGGAGTCTTTCTATCACCTTTTTGTAAGAGAATGCAGTCAGGAAGAGAACCATCAAAATATATAAAATATTTTATCATATGATGACGTAAGAGAAAAATTACATCAATGTGACGTATCTTTTCAGTTTAACGTCATATATATATCTAACGACAATAGTTATTTTCGTGGAAAATGTGTATATACATATAAGCACTTACTTAAACCAATAATGCGTACGATGTAAGAATTGAGATGTACATAGAGGATGTATGTATATGTGTATATTAAAAAACACAAAATCTAACGTTTTCTGATCATCAGTGGATCGTATTGCAAACAGCTTCTCAAATATTAGATTCATCCGACATGTATATTATTGTCACTAAGAGACGCGTTCCATCCTTAGTGTTGGTAAATTTAAAGTCAAAAGTTGCAACTAATAACTATATTATAAAAGATTTTTTTTTTTTTTTTTTTTTTCAAGTATATACATCTAAACTGTATTGCAGGTAGGTGCAAATTTTCTTACAAAGATTAGCTTTTCGTATTACTTTCTAAATAAAACAATGCATTTCTTATGGAGGAACAATTGTAATAGATCCTTCCCACCGCCTCCTCTCTCGCTCTTAAATATATGTTGGCATACAAGTGGACAATGTTTTGCATTATACGTGGACTTTGTTAAAAGTTTGACCGTAATGTATCCCCTACTTACGACAGTAGTGTGTTTCCACATAAGAAATGTAGAATTTACATTTCCAGTCCTAAGTAAATGCATGTACACGATACAGTTATTATTACACATGTACGTCTCGATTCTTGTTGATTGTTTTACACACAATTGGTTATATTATTCCCGCAAGTACTTTTTGACGAATTGCATGTAAAATACTACTACACTGTAACTCTAATTGATATAATCGTAATTGGCGTACGTACAAACATAGCATACCTGCAATTTTCATTACACAGTTGTTATTTATTCTCACTTTGAAACGGTATATCGTCTATAGGAATATACACAATCACACACGTAAAAACGATAGTTATTCTAATGCCGTAAAAGGCAGTCATACGTATTCAACGAAAAGATATATGAATATTTAATCATACATTAAGCACATTTCGTTAAAAATATACCTGCATATACTTGCATTTAAAATTGTTGCACAAAATCTAAGAAAAATATTTAATTAACGATATCTGATATCCAAGTTTAATATGTCAAATTATACTTTTTAATATGTAAAATTATACTTTTTATTATATACGTACGACACTCATCTTAATACTTGTATTGTGTCTTTGTAGAGATAGTCGCCGCAGAGGAGGATAAAAATGAATTTGACTATCTGAAAATGCTTGAACTTCTTAGAGGAGGGGACCAGGATTTTCCTCATTTGCCTCCTGGTGGTGGTCTTCATGCCAAGTGAGTTTGATTGTATAACAATTTTTATAGATGTGAGATACGTACGAGCTTGTGCAAAATATATAATTTACACTTGTGAATAATTTGTGGACCGCCAATCTCATTATGAAGGGTTAGTTTTTCCTACAGTTGAGTTATTATATAACTTTAGTAGCATAAGAATGCGCGTATAATAATATTATACTTACATAATAAGTATATGTGTACACCATCGTTTTTAAAGATACATTCTGGAATATATTTATAGCACATTGTAGTCACGCGTTTCTATCTGAGAAAAGGACCAGTAAACTTGTTGCTATCCCTGTAATGAGATCACTGTAAAGCGTTAGCGTTACTACAACCGAGTCAAAAGTCTTTCATCAATTTGGCTAGATTCCAGAATATAATTAGAATCCCTGTGTTGTAAGAACCCTGCCGATAGGTTTATACTTATCCACGCAAATGTATATTTCGGAATTTATACTCATTCTCGGCGATCTCGCGAGGCGAAATAATGACACGTGATTTTTTGTCTTCTTTTCCAGGCAACCCTTCATTGAAAAAGTGTTTCAGGAAATATGTCCCAGCAAAGCGGATAGTGTAAGTGTTGGGTGCATCCCTTTGTCATAACTAACCCTCGTTCTTTTTCTACGCACGCACACACACATACACGTACGTGCATATACACATGCTGCATCAAATGTACAATTATAATAATAAGACATGTTCCATGTGCATACAAAGATGCGGAATCTACCAAGAATACATTGACTTTAATAGTAATTCTTAATGTAAGAAAATCCCATAAATGTTGAAGCAAAATTACAATGTTGTACCATAAACTGGTGAATGTTGACAGAACCAAATTTGTCATAAAGCATGTAATTAGCATATTTCTATATATATGGCAAATTACAAATTGGTAACATAAATTAGTGCGTAAACTGATTAAATATTACATGGTATTGTTTTGGCGTAAATTTATTGAATATTACGTACTTTCGTAAGTTTTTCCATCTATCTATCAATCTATCTGTCTATCTATCGATCTATCTATCTATCTAACGATCAATCTATCTATCCATCCATGCTATTTGTTTAAAGCTCAAGCTATATAGACGTTTCTTTTATTCGTCATAGCTTCAGTGGTATTTTCGCGGAAGCCATTGAGGTAGTTTTCAAAAATTGATTATGTATTTATCGAAAGGATATATTTCTAAAAGATTAGAGATTATTTATAATTGCGGTGGACGGAAATGTGGCCGGAACTTAAGAAATATATCGTTATAACGAACATGCTTACTTAACTATGCTTCGTTATTGTTTGCAAAGTATTGATTTGCAAATTAAGCTAGTTAATAATTTTAATAAAATAATAGTAAACAAGTATAAAATATCAATTACAGGGGACTCTAAAGATAATATTACATAAATGCAGATCTTTATTTTTAACTTTAACAAGCACTCCTATATTGAACAATATTTTATTTAATGTATATGTACATAGGGGAGAGATCAGGCAAATCTCCGTTATATAGCGGATACAGCAAATTGTTTTTACAATTAATGGCATATTTCAAGAGAAAATGTGTTGGGCGAATTCTTGCCTGAAATAATTCTAATTAATCATTTAATGATCTTTCCTTTTATAACCGTCATTCTTGTTGGATTTTATAAATTGTTCCATCAGAAAGAGAGTGAAAAAGTGTTTATATAAATATTATTCACATGCGGAGGGTGTAGAGATATTATACTAAGAAATAGATGCGGAGGTATACGCGTGTGTGTGTGTGTGTGTGTGTGTGTGTGTGTGTGTGTGTGTGTGTGTGTGTGTGCGCGTGCGCGCGCGCGCAAGATGAGGTGAAAATGGAAAATTAGATAACGAAAACTAATAAAAGGGGGTGTAAGTTTTAATATAATATAAATAATGTAAAAAAATATATATGTAGAGTATACATGTTATTATATGTGTATGCATTTATTCGTGAGGACATTTTAAAAGAGCAGCAACCTTTGAAGTATTTAATCACTGTGAAGTTTACACAATAGAATAAATACTACTATATAGGTTTTATACTGCTTGCATAGCTCTTTCATGTGCGAACAAAATTTGACGTTATCTTCATCAAGAGTATATACTTTCCTCATGCGCAACAATGTACAAAGTCATTTCTGTATTACAATGTATGCGCGACAGATCAAGAAATTAGATTCGACTCGAAGACTCGAAAAACTTAGTAAAGTATTTCTGTCATACCCTCTTGCCATGTTGATAAGAACGCATAATATTGCTGTATTGTGTGTGTGTGTAGGTGTATATGTGTACACACGCGCACACACACGCACATATATATACATATATACACAATTATATATTTTTGTAGATCTAGAGCAAATTAGCGCTCGGAATATTTACTTTGATCGGTGTTTCCTGCTCTTCATTTGTTCGATGGGAACATTGATTTATAGTGTACTTTGTAGAATGTGGAACTTTCATACGAGAAGAGTAGGAAAAAACTGATCCTTTAGTTTTAAAATTGTCAATCATCTGTGTATATATATTTACACACGGAAAAGTTGTGTATGAGAAACAATGTACTGATACTTTCTTCGAATAATTTAAAAGATGAATTTATAGCACGTACCGCTAGGAGGCCTTGAGCTTAGTTTCTTGTAGCATTGTTGTGCTTCGTACAACTTGTATTTTTATATATATTTGAGTACAGAATAGATTTATAAGATTCATTGTACGCTCTTGAACATATGGTATCGTCGCAAATTTGTAATTCGAGTATGTTGCATACGATCGGCTGTCGCGTTTATATACATACGTTTTCCCATCACACGCACGCCTCTCTCTGTGTGTGTGTAAAAACAGAAATAAATCAATCATACATCGGAATAACGCATATCAAACACTCACTGATTCGTCTTGCGATCGTTTTACACTCGCGTACAGACATCCTCGTTTGGAAAAATGAAAAAGGAAACTATGCGTCAAGGCCATCCTCGTACACACGATGAAGTATACATATACCAAAGTATATTACCGTTTCTGGTTATAAAAAGAAATATCTTGGAATTAACAAAGTTAACGATCTATTACAGTTTTAAAGTATAATATATTAGAAATATAAAAAATCCTATATACGCGCAGAGAATGAATGAACTCTCTATTTTTACTAACACAATGTCTCACTAATAAGCATGTAAAGATATACTAACGTATTTCGAACTTTTTCGTTCCGAATCGATAACGCCATTTCTCGATTATATAAATTATACATATATATGTATATATATATGTAATACATTCATGTGTGAAGATATATATTTATAATTTCCCAAATGAGAGAGAGAAGTCTAGGCTAGAGACATTACAGAGTACCTAGATTACGAAGTTATATTAAGAGAAAAAAAAATACTTTCGCTGCGCTATTGTGCCTCATCTAGTGACAATGGTGTAACGCTCGTATCGATAGTATGTGTTTCCAATTTGTATCGCAAACTATAGAACCATACGCAGATATGCTTTCAAAGGATTATAAATGTTTGGTGGAGCTACACGTGATCTTGATTCGATAGCAATTCACAAACGATATCGATCATTCACACGGTTAATGTAAGCCACTTATTTCGTAGGAATTTCAGTTAAATTTTTAACATTGGGCTATCATTCTTCTGTGTAGCGATATACTTTTTCTTTCTTACACATAGTCCTATTCTGCACATCAAGCGATAATAATACACATCACTGTGCTAAACGTTTTACTCGCAAGGGTGACGATTACACACGAAATTGATTGCTTCTCTCCACCATTATGAAGATATCGTGATTTGTACTTATTTGTTACATACTTTTCTCGAATATTTGAATATTTATACTCTACAGAATAGGACTATTGCGACAAAAATTGTGTAAAATATATGCCTTCATAAAAACGAAAAAGTAGTATTTTTTTTATTACACTGTTACGTAGAATTGTGTATCAATTAAGTTCAGTCGATATCATTGTGACAGTGGTGGGCCAATTCTGACGTCGTCCAGCAATTAAGTGTTCTCTAATCCGAGATATTACGAGGTCACGGATCAAGTTCGTTAATGTTATTAGCGATAAACGTATATTCCTACTGTCGCAATCATCCTCATCGATCCTTGTGTATATTTAACTTTTCAAATGTTTCGCAACACACACTTTTTGTACGACCCTTTACGATATTTTGTTATTACATTAGTATTTTGTGCGCGAACGCGACACTAACGGTAAAAGATTCTTTCTCCTCTTTAATTTATCGCGAAAATCTCATCCTTTCTTCAGGTTGCATTGAAACAGCGCGAGTTCTTACTCTGTCAGAACAGGGCGCTATCTCTTGTCTATCTTTATTTAAGAAGAAAAAGATTAATGGGAAATTAGTTTAGGAAATTATTGGCTTACTTTTTCGCGATGTTTGAATCTTCGCAAATGGAGCTTTGAAAAATTTGAACGACTCAACACACAGCGTCGTCATTTTAGATTTATTGTCTGTAAACTCGTAAGCGCCTATATCATACTCGTCTATATTTATTGTGTATATATCATGCGCGTGTATACAATTAAAATGATTGAACGAGTCTTCCGGTTTTTGTGAGCGAGCGTGCGTAATAATAATTTGCGACTTGTTTCCTCGCAATTACGCTCGTGTTGCCGCGGGCTTTGCACGTTATTAGAATATTCTTACATTTATTGTACATCGTTGCTACGACAGACTACGATCTCGATGAAAAGTTACATTTTCTTTTTTTAATATTTATTTTGGGGCCTTGTTCTTACGTTTATTCGATGAACATGCGTTTTCCCTCGAAATATGCTACTGATACTCGATCGATAAACAGTCTGTCTTGATCTCTGATATCCGATACACTTGATACTGCGAGAAAGGTATTTTTTTCTTTGTTTATAGAAATCCTCCGTTTGCCTTTTGACAATACCACTTTATAATTACTCTAATTATATTTTCGCGACGTGACTGTAAATTCTGAAAGTGTAAGAAAAAAAAGAACATGGACGCTTACTGGAAATACAAAATGGTGCATTGCGAGAATATCAGAGTAAATTATAAATATGCGAGATTACACAAATGTTACGTTTATGCGTTATATTTCTAGTTGATTTGTAAAGATGTCGTTTCATCAGCACGTTATAATTCTCCGGTAATTCCCTTTTCATACAACACTCGATCACGAGATGATTAATTTGATTTAAGTCTATGATATTGAACGTTGCACAACGTTACTGATACTTCAAGACAAACAACATTAACAGTACCTTATCTGTAAAGTGTGTAAGTATACAATTTATATTATTAATTTGCATCCTTGACTATTTTTTGGAATGTTACCTTACAGTATATTATACAGTGGTATTGTTGAAATATTTACGTATTAATATGTAGCAACTGTTAGATTATCAATCAATAGTAGTATTCTTTGTAAAATTCCCTGTCACGCGTGCGCGCGCGCGCGCACACACACACACACGCACACACACGCACACAGAGAGTCAGAATTAAACTGATCGTTATAAGAAATTTTTGCACGATTTGGTGTTAAGTATTTTAGTGCCGAATCGACCTCCTCCTCCCCCCATACCCTGTTCAAAAATATATCTAATATCTATAATATCTATATATAAAATGTATACACATATACACACGTATCCTCCCGTCATACATATTTATAAACCTTCAAACAGTTGTATATACATAAATTGAAATATTGTATAATGATGTGCTTACAGAAATCACAGAGCAGTTAAGTGTACACAATACCTATACAATTTCGTACATGTGAAATTGCGATAGACTGGCCAATCCGAAAATGGTGAAAATGAAAATATCTATCGTCAAGAGAATCATAGTGTGGAGTTGCTACATGAACAGAGACTATGTGAAACGGTAATTGGATAAAATGTTCTCGCAGTTATAAATATTATTACCAAATCAAGATTTGCAATAACTTTGACGCCGCAATTTAATAGTAATTTCCGGTACAACGACGCGGAGTCTTGAATCGCGGTGACTTTTAGTCTTTGTAACGTCATATAAAGCTTTGTAAATCTCGTAAATTGACATTAGACTATAATTAAATCGAAGTATTAAAATATATTAAATTGGTCTAAAGTCAGGTTACAATATGCGGAATAAGTCTTGCTAATTTTTTACCAACAATCACGCACACACATACACACATACACATTTCTATGAATAATGCAGAGACGACTGCGGCGACCGACCAATTGACTTTTAACGATTGAACGTTGCTATTTACATGTACAAACAATTTGCATAAACAACAATTAACAGTGAGTAACATAACATCAATGTTATAATTTTCCACTCCACAATGTAAATGCAATATCCGTTTTAACGCCACGCAGCGCGATCGAGCTGTTCGCGTACTGTGGTGAAATGTGCCGCGATGTTTGGTCACGATCGTCAATTCGCAACGCGCTTGGTTCCGAATGTAGTTCGTCGTACGTACCTCTTGAATTAGAAAACCAAAACCTGTATTATAGAATGTTATCACGTAAACAAAACGTAAAACACGAATATTTTGCAAACTTTTGAGTGTTTAGTATAACGTTTCTGATATGACTGATGAAATGAAGCGCGAGCGCACCGAGCGGCATATTTCGACGAAAAACAAGAGCAACGTGATCGCGTCGATCGGCATTACTCGCAGATAAATGAACGAAGCGCTATCGCGCTGCATGGCACAATCCGACACGGATTTTTAAAAACCCCTAGCACTAAAACGGATATATAACGCGCGTGTTATGTTACATTCTCATATTAAGTGAGAAATTATAACATTAATATTATATTATTGGTTGATTGGTGTTTGCTGGGAAATGTAGAGTTGGACTTGCAAGCATCTACTATGCTCTGTTTAATCGCTACAAGTTTATGTATTTGGTGAGACACTCAGTAGCATCAGGTCGGATCAATCGTTATCGTTGAAACAACGATAGTCCAGTAGTTGCCGCTGACACCTTCACCGATGATTCAGTCGACTATTGCATAGACTTTTATCTTTTATCACCGTTTTGATTATCGAAAACACCTTCGATGGGAAGCATCATTGCGGCGTCAAAGCTATCTCTCGAAAAATTGTGTTACGTCATACTTATCGTTAGCAAAAGAACACATTGTACAAAGCATTTTATCTTCACCGGCGAAACGGTGAAACGGCGAGGGATTCGAAAAGATAGCTAATGTTATATCTCAAACGAGGCGTAAGTCTGTGCTATACGAGTAAACGATAATTGTAAGAACGGCGTACCGTTGTGCGCGTAGTTACCCTGTTGGCTATTAAATTAGGGACCGAATGCATCGTACGCGAAGCTGACTAAACTATTCCAGAGAATCACCGCATCTTCTTTCTACGAATCGACACTTGTGTTCGAAACATGTGCTCATTTGTCTTCTTCTATATTTTTTTTCTTTTTCTTTTTCTTTTAATCGCGCCTCTTATGCAGCTGAAACAATTTTATCGAGCTATAAACGTAGTAATAAACCCTTTGTCTTTTATACAAAAACGGAAGAAAATGCTTATTTCTTTTCCCGTTACGTATCAGACTTTTCTGTCCGTGCGTACGTACGTATATNATATAAAACATATACCAAAGATTGCTCTTTTACGTATTTATTCCAAAATATCGAAGAAGATACAAAAGATCTAAAATAGTACTGTGTAAATACCGTTGTTAATTGGTATATTTAAAAAGTATGCATTCTATCGTCAATATTAATTAGACAAAGCAGTATAATAATGAAAAAGAGAGAGAGGGAAAAACAGGTCGTATTTTACATGAGGTATCACAATGTATCTTTGTTCAGATAAAACATAGCCATTTTACAGTAATAAGATACAAATTATATACTTCATTCGCACACACGCATGTTAGCACACCATGTAATTATTTCATCTATTCGACATATCGTATTTTTATACATTTCTAAAAAATGTGATTCTCTCAAGCTGTTGCGCTTGATGACCCAAATTTCTTTCGCCTTCAACTTAAGTAATGTTATTTTTTTTTTACCACATAAACGGTAATTACATTAATTAGATATACATCGTTGAATGAGGCATGCAATCTTTTCAGTGTTCCAATATCGTAATTTGTTGTCTATTCGTAAAATCATCATTTTACTATGTGTTGCAATGTAATGTGTTAAATTGTTACATTGCTCAGAAAATTGGGTATATACGCGTAGGAGCAAAAATTATACGGTATTATAAATAGATGAATACACATGCGCGCGCACACACGTACACACGGTCTGTCTATGCGTTATCTATCGACATTTTTACTTTCATCTCTATATGTATGCCTAAAAAGTAACTGGGCTTATAAAAATCACAAATGTTTACGATACAAATGTTGTGTGAAAAGCATCTTCTTAATCGCGAAATAGATTACGCCTACGTTTGTGTGTCAACTTCGATCGTGAATGAATAATTACCGACTATCTTCCCTGACTCTCTCCATGATACCGGATAACCAGGAATAAGTTATCATTTACTTATTTAAGATACGTTCGATTCAACGCGTTGTACAAAAATAAAACTGAATCATTACACAGACTGACTGTACGAAAAATATTACTAAATGAAAAAAAAAAAGAAGGAAAAGGTCGTACTATTAATTATCTACACCACGTACAATAGTGTCTTATGGATGACCATATATTGAAAAATACTGGTGATCCTTCTCTCACGCGCGCGCGCGCGTCTTAATGTACTTAATATAATTGAATCCAATTAACGCGTAATACTTGTCTTTTATATTATGAAGTATGAAACATTTAACAAATCTTATCCTTTTTATACTATACGGTAGAAAATATACGCAACGTTGCGGTCAATATTTATCCATAATTTCCATGAAGAGTTAAAAACATTTCAGTATTCATTTAAACGTGTCGAAAACGAATGCATTAATTTTCTCGATATTATGTAGGAGTAATACATCATTGTTGCAATCAAACTGTTTGTTGCCGAGCAAAAGATTACAAGTCAGACGATACAATCGAATTTCGATAGTGGTTGCGTTCTTTCTTTTTTCGTGTATATACTTGAACGCGAATGTACAATCGAGTGCAGTGAACGTAGAAAAGGCAGTCATTGCACATATTCGGTCGTAACGAGTTTTATAGGTATACAACACACGTATGTCTGCTCTAGTTTTTCCATCAATATATCCGTCTCATTGTACCACACGATCTAAACTATTACTCGTGGTGCGTCGAAATATAAAATGTCCATAAATTAATTTTAAACAACTGTACTATTACATAATATCTATACTAATTCCTCTCTCTCTCTCTCTCTCTCTCTCTCTCTCTCTCTCTCTCTCTCAATTAAGTTAGATATTAACGAAATCTGTCACAGCGTATATTTGAACTACTTTGAATGTCACGTGTTGCATAAGTGAAGAAAGTCGCGTATACTCGGCGCTTTTGCTACGCAAACAGTATAAAACGTAAATACGCGATACAGAGCGAATTTCTGTGTAAATTCGTAAGGAAGAAGTTATTTATTAGTCCAGCCTCGCCAGATCGAAGCGATACTGGCCGCTGCACTCGTTACCAAGCCACCGGCGACACTCTGATGAACTTGCATACTAGAGGACTGCTGAGTAGCCATTGCACTAGGAATAGGTACTGTCATCTCGGGACAAGCGATATTCGGCACCTGTACACAAGATCGTACGTTAATTAATTACGGTCGCTCCGTTCGAAAAAACAACTTACCGCTTCCCATCCCGCGCACGCATCTTCCTCCTCGTCGGAACCGGAATCGTCGCTATTTTCCAAATCTGGAATCAACTGATTGTGAAGTTGCGCTATTACAGTCGGATCAGCTTCCATTGGGCCAATTCTGCAACACGGTACATCATCGGTTGTTATTTGGAACGATTATCTGGAACGATTATTTGGAACGAAATTGAATTCGTTATTACCTTCCTAGGTCGCTAATTTCAGTATTGAGCAGATGCATCAGATTTTGCAATGTATGCATCGGGTGCAAAACTCTTGCGTCGGTATTTTGCATAAAGCACAAGTGTAATACATTGCCATTTAGCCTCGCTACTTTTCTGGCGAACTTTTGATCCGACATTTCGTGTCCAAATTCCCTGGCAAAATGGAATTGACATTTCGAGTCTGATCGAGTAGATAGAATTCGCATGTACCAGATCTAATTTCGGCGATACATACCCACAAGTAAGTTTGTACGGTAGCTTTACATTAACGAAAGAAGCAATAACATTGACCAGTTGTGTAGTGAAGGATAAGCCAGCGCTGATGTTGTACGCCGGATTGTGCATCGCATTTTCTCTGTTTGTACCTGGCACGCCGTCCTTGTTCGCCGCGACTATAAAAAACGCGCACATTGTACTTTCTTAAGGTCTGAACGAGTTGAAGAGCTGAACAATTACCCCAGTGAGAGTAAGCGCTATAGTCTCCCGTGCCCGGCAACGTCGGCTCGACTATACAATGACGGATTTCCGAGGAATTTTCCTTGTCGCTGATCCATCTGCCCCGGACGTACGATGTACCTGATGCTTCCGCTAACGCAGAGGTAACGATATCCGAGGTTGTACTGTCGCTGTCTTCGCTGCTACACAAACTGTAAATAATAGCAGGAGCTATTGTGCTGCTACTTCTTCAGATTAGAAGGACGAAGATACCTTCTGTTCGGCTGGACCCGAGACAATGGAAAGATGTATTGAATTAATTGGCTGACGGTGGTTCTGATAACGTTCTTAAGTTGCTCCCTCTTTCTGTCCACTGCCTCCTGCTGTTTCTCTTGCTTAGCTTTCAAGCTGCTGACGCAGCAATACAATCTTTCTATTCTTTCCTCATGTCTCGGCAAACGTTCAATTAACTGAGAATTGCCGTCTTTTAAAATGTTCAAACGCTGGTTACCTATGAGATGAAATATCAGCAATATGGCAAGAGTATTCGGTAAATTTGGATTTACCTCTGTGTATGCTCTGTTTGGTCTCGTTCACCAAGGTTTGAAGAAGTCTCACTCTTTCCTTACAGATATTTATATCACATATCTGAAAGAGAGTATATATATATATACATATATATATATACAAAACTGCACGAGAAGTTGCAATATTCACGGTTAATACCAGTTTATCCTTTTGCTTGCGTCTCTCGAGAACCTTCACGCACTTCTCCTCCAATTGAGCTCTGGCAGCTTTCAGCCGTAGCAACCGCATCTGCTTGTCTGCGAACCTGAAAGGTAATTATATCTTCTTTTTTTCCGAAAGTTTTCAGATAACCTCCCTCTCAATCGTGACTTGAACGCACCGTTCCGAATAAACGGCGTTCGAGAAATCACCGTTCTGGATGCACTGGCGGCAGTGAAAGATCCGACGGCTGTTGTGGCACAGCGGACATTTCAGCAGATTCGCGCTCAAGCGATTGGACGCATCTTCCAGCTCGGAAGACAGCTGAAAGTCCGCGGGCGCGGTGCACGAGCCGTCGGAGCTGCTCGTCGCCATAACCAAGCAACGTGGTCGACCTATGTGAGCCCGTCTTCGACCGTGTTGTGCCTCATCAGCTGATCCGCTGTTTACTCGCGCCGTCGTCGCATCCCCCCTCTCCCCCCCCCCCCCCCCCCCCC